TGAAATAGCATATTTAAGGTTTTTATATGCAAGGGATGTTACAGTAACTTTTTCGTCAAAATCAACTGACCGGAAGTGGAATTGTATATCATGGGCTAAACACATTTTTACAATGCGTTATCTCCTTACTTTCCAGATCCTTAGACAACTTCCCAAAAAAGCAATCATATTCCTCATATACCTGTATAACTGTACCCTCCGCACAACTCACTTTTCTCTGATATGGAAACAATCCATTATTATCCTCTTTCCTAAACCAGGTAAACCTGTTAAAAATGCCTCATCCTACTATAGACCAATAAGCTTACTTCCGATTCTCTCAAAAATCTTTGAAAAAATCCTTCTTAAACGTATCCTACCGATTCTCGAAACCCACAATATCCCCTCCCATCAGTTTGGATTCCGCTCAAGACATTCCACTGTTCAACAAGGCCTCCGCGTTGTTGACCATATATCCTCTGCGCTTGAAAACAAGCAATATCGCACAAGTTCCTTTCTGGACGTAGCGCAAGCTTTCGACCGGGTGTGGCATGATGGCTTGCTTTTTAAGCTCAAAACTCACTTACCCCAATCCTTGTACCTAGTCCTCAAATCCTACCTCTCAAATTGTTCCTTTCAAGTCCGCTGCGGCACTGAATTCTCCAACTATTATCCAGTTGAGGCTGGTGTTCCACAAGGCAGTGTCTTGGGCCCAGTTCTCTACATCCTTTTCACAGCTGACATTCCAACCCATCCTAATACCCTTCTAGCAACATTTGCTGACGATACCGCCATCCTATCTTCCCACCCAGACCCTGAAACAGCATCCCTAAACCTTCAAAGACACATCTTCCTAATAGAGCAATGGTGCAACAATTGGCGCATCAAGATCAATGAATCCAAATGCAAGCATGTCACCTTTACCCTCCGACGCAGATCCTGTCCACATATCCTTTTCAACTCAGTACCTCTTCCCATCTCAGACACAGTTCGGTATCTTGTATTCCTTTTAGACAAACAAAAAGACTAACATGAAACCCACATACCAGACTTAAAATACAAGAGCTTTACTTACGACTTGGCCAGTTATACCGACTACTTAACAGTAAATCTAACCTCTCAATTGAAAACAAACTATTAATATATAAGACCATATTGAAACCCATCTGGACCTACGGACTTGAGCTGTGGGGGACAACTAAATTTTCGAACATCAAACGCATCCAATCCTTCCAGTCTAAAGTCCTCCGTGTAATAGTCAATGCTCCTTATTATGTTACGAACAAAACCTTACATCATGACCTTAACATCCCTTACGTCCTTTACATCATTCCATCCCGATTTTCAAATTTTCATCAGAACCTAATCCATCATCCTAATCCCTTAGCACAATCCTTATCCAGTTCCAGTCAACCCTACAATCCTCCTCGAAGGTTGAAACGGCAGTGGCCTTGAGATCTTTTGTAAAGATGTCATTGGAGTCCTGGCGATGGCCAGCTTCTCCACTCAAGCCATGAGCGTATGTGGCTTTAGTGCCCTCTCTTAGTCTCCACTGGATTCCCATCCTAGAGATGCGGCTGAGAGAGAAGCGCTGGAATCTCTTGGAGTCTTGCCTTATCCTCCACAAGTGGGGAGAAAGGCCCGACTCGGAGCTCCCTCGGCTGACTGTAAATGTTGTATATAAGTATGAATGTGTTTTTATTTATTTTTATTTAATGTCTGATGTTTGATTTATTCTGTTATTCCAAGTTTTATTTTCATTTCGTTTGTTATAATCTTTTTTTTCTTTTATTGTATATATGGTATGTTTGTGTTTCATTCATCCTAAATAATCAATGCCCTTAATTGAGGCAAAATGTATTTTTTGTCTCAATAAAATATTTTAAAAAAAAACTTGTATTACTAGTGCTGGCCTTAGGGCGTGGCTACCGGGGCAATTCAAGGTGCCAGCCGAGATTCAGGGGTGCTTGCCAATTGTTAAAAATTAATAAATAAAACAAACTGTATTAAAATAATTAATTTTAGTTTCTCAATATAGCAGCTGTATTTTATAAATATTGAATGAAATAAAATTAAAGTATTACATAATTTAAAATAACTTCAGAAATAATTAAAAAATTTTAATGTGGGGAGATGATGTCATTGCCTGGGGCGCCGATGTCTAATAGCTCTGGAGCCAAGGTCCAAAAATCGAACTCATCACTGGCGAAGGTTTATAGTAATGTCAATACTCAGTGGATGCAAAATGTGATGCTCTAGAACTATGATTCTATGGCTTTTTCTCGCTCCAAGTTACAGGGCCAAATTATAATAATTTGGCTCAGTTTTTGTCAAATTTGGTAAAAATCAGCGTTGGTTGACCGTAGTTTTATACCTTACCTAACTCATAAAGTTTATGTACTCGTTCGAAGCACAATTTAACATTCTTAAATTTATTAAATGGTTTATTTTTCGCTTTGATGCATTGTTTAGGAGTTATAGATGAAAAAAAAAAAAAAAAAAAAATATCGGAAAAATCTGACTTTTGATTGTCAGCAATTAGCAATTTTGTTTTTTACGTCTCACAACTTTCTCACATTTTTCGCAATGAATATCCCGTTTCATTTCTCAAATTACTGATCTAATATTCTTTAAATCAGCAACCCTTTTTGAAAGCAGGGTCTGCTTCTTTATTTCTGCGTCTCTGAAATACGACAAAATAATTTTTACTCAGAAGAACATACAATCTCGTAATTTATGATCAAACCTAGGGCTAAGGCTCCAGAGCTTTGAGGCCGGCACTGGGTATTACTTTCACTTATTTATATATGTAATATGTAGTAAAGGTAAGTATTACGATCGTGAAAATTTTCGAATCTGAATTTTCAACGGAAATACACGTTTTGAGGTCCCCTGAGTCTAAATAACCAAGACCCACAAAATGGTGTGTGTGTGTGTGTGCGTGCGCGCGCGTGAATGTGCGTGGGTGTGTGTAGAACAGCCTAGCTCAAAAACGAAAAGTTGTACGAAACTGAAACTGTGTTCGAGGTTTTTATAAACTTTAGATGTACAGCAATATTTTCGGCAAGCCGGAAACAAGTACTTTATATAATCGATTTAACACATTTTTCTCAAAAACGGCTCTAACGATTTTGATTAAATTCAGTATATCAGTGTATTATTAAGCAGTTTTTGATACAATGTAGGTTTTATTCTCAGTGATGTTCTCTAACAGGGCTTAAATCGCTAATTTTCAATATTGGCTTTCACAAAAATACCATTATTTTTTTTTATATGAAATAATTAACCATTTTACATTAATCTGTGATATAAAAATAGTTAAATATAAAATATGAAAAAATTGAGAATTAACTAAAAGAGAAATAAGAGATCGTAACGGATAATAGTTATAATGGAGGAACCAAAGTAATAAGAGTGCGCCCGAGATCGCCCGAAAGATTAGAACAGGCTTTCGTGCGAAACATCTATCCATACCCTCTCCACAAGATCTCCTCCATCTGACCTTAACACCCCTTTCCATAGATCTGCTTCATTTCAACGTTCGTTTATTGTCCGCTCTTCCAACTTTTGGAAATCCATTAACTTAAAATCCGCCATGCACCATCCTTATCTACATTCAAAACACTCTTATTCCAATCGCTCTTCAAAATCTAATCAGATACTGGTTATTTATGTATTATGTAACAAAGATCTTTTTTTTCTTTTTCTTTTCATACCCCGTTATTTTATTTTATTTTTTGTTTATTATTGTCACAATTCATTTCTCATAAAATTAATTTAGTGCTCCTTCCGAATTGTATTTACCTATTTATTGTTATTTTATATCTTGTATGCCGGGATAATGTAATATCGTGATCCCGTTGCTCATGTTCTGTCATCAATATATCTTTAATCTAGGTATATATTTTGTATGTTTTGGCTGTTTGGGTTTTAACACGTCAATACTTTTTATTTACATGCTTTTGATATTTTGTTTCTGGTGGTTTTGCTTTTTCTTTTTGTACATGTAATGCTTTTTGTGTATATGTAAGCTTCACCAATGTCGAAAGCTTGAATTTTGTGTCTCAGTCATATCCCATACAAGAAAATAAAAAGAAACCCTCTATTCCCATTCAATGCAACTTAGACACCCGAATTTTCATTACAAGGTTACTGGGCTAAGACAGACTCGAACGAACTTTTCTCCCCCTTCTCTAAGTGATTCCTGAACGTGAGAAAATCTTCATCTTATACCTAACTGAATTAATGAGGTGATCCTCGTTATTCGATCTACTAATTTTATTTTCCTCCTGTTCTTCTGATCGATTCATATTTGGGAACTAATCTTTCTTGGCTTGGAGTTTACCATTATCTATCGAGATCAAAGAACTGGCGTTTATATAATATAGATGTGTATCGTACTCAGCTAACACTTTTATCAAAACCAATCTCGCCCACACAGTGACCAAATGGAAAGAGAGACTATCAACTAAAGTTGTAATAATAAAAATAACGAGATTCTAAACCCAAGATCAAGTCTAAAGAACTCTGACCACCGGTGCGTCATTGTCCTGTGTGTATTTGGTTCCATGGAACGGCTCCTCCAGTTCTGAACCATTCTTATTCGTTTCTTTTAGTTAAATTTCCATCTCTAATACATTTGGTCTCATAGTTCAATTATGATCATTTTTTTCACTGCGAAGAGCAATTGTAATAAAAGGATATAGTTGCTTCACGATAAATGGATATTATTTACAGTCATACCCATCTTTTGTGACTAGATTAACTGACTAATAAAAAATGCCAATAGTGAGATACTTGCTATTGACATATGTAATAAAGGAACATAGATTTCTATTAACGTTGATTGTAATCATTTCAAACTAGCTCAATACAATTTGAATGATGGCGATATATAGAGTAAAATGAAAAAAAGAACAAATTTTTGTTTTAATACACAGGTATATTGTGATCTCTAAGCTCTCATACTATTGGTTAGCCAATATAAAGGTTATCTTGTTGAGATATTATGGAGGTTATGACTAGCTGTCACCTTCCCCGGTATAATGCTGATGGGTTCAGCCTAAGGGCTTATCTTAATTGGGGTTGATAACTTTTTAAGAGCCTTAATTATTTTAAGATAGTTATGAAACTTAATGTATTTTAACTTAAGGTCCAGTAACTCAAACCTATTTAAGATGTGGAAGTATTCTGCTCGTAAACAGAAATCCACATTTTCGATTATCAAATATGATTTTTGTTTAGAAATATGGTTGTAATGTTAGCTTATTCTAGTTTATTTAGGTAATTGTTTCTATATAATGAGGGAAGGCTATGTTTTGTTAACTCTAAATCCTGACCAACAACCAATAGTTATTAAAAGGAGTTGGTGGAGGGTAAGTTTAAACTTTATCAATTTATTTCGTTTCAACCTTATTTTTCTTTTAGTAGTGATTAATTAATTTAATAATGTTTCAACATTTATTTTATAGTCATGGAATCGATTATCTAGACTGCAGAAAAATTTAATTACTACTTTGAGTTTTTTTATTATTGTGGTGATATTTTACAAGTGGATTTGGAATGGAGGAGTACAATTAGAAGAACAGTATCAAATTAAACCCTATACAATTGCTCTTGTAAATGAAAATAAAGTTGTTACTGCAGTTCCAGAGAAAGTTGAAAAGAAACTAAATATTAAGGTAGGCAACTATTTGATTTTATAACTTTCAGTTTAGATATTAATAGGTACCATATAAAATTCTAAAAAATCATGAAGTATGCTATATGGTTGATTATACTCCCTAATTTGATACTTCATTACATTCTGTATTTGAACATTAATGTAATAATAATTAGGTGAAGGATTACCTTAATTTATTATTTGATTATATATTATTAATCATTTATTATTATTAATATTATTAACTATTTATTTTCTGAGAAATTCCTCCGTGGGCTAAATGGAGTTCGCTTCATAAGATGATCTTAGTTTTAACTTTTTAGCCCTAATTTCTTCAATTACTTTTTGCTTGCTGGGCTTAATGCCTGTTTGCTCTTTGTCTATGACAGTTTAAACCCATCGTATTGAGAGTGGATAATTGAGGCACATTCCATGAATATCCATTTAATCTTAAGTAAAGTTGATCTTTACTACTAGGATTGAGCATGCGTAGGCCATAAAATAAAAGCACTGCTTCAAATTGGTGTGGCCTCTCAAGAATTTTATTTAGTTGTTGTACATTATGTTTCTTTTATTAAGAATCTATAAAAAATAATGTCATCTGAGTACCTTTGGCCATCTTGATATCTCCTTCTAGATATATCTTTTTATTTATGTTTTTCCATATTATTTGTTTTATGGTTGATTAAAGAGTATTGTATATTTCATTCATAAGAAAGTGGATATCTTAAATGACAATGATTATCATGGTATTACATACGCATATAAAGTACTATCCAATGTTCATGTATATCCAATTATATGAAACTGCTCCCAATTCCTATCATTCTTATTCTTTAATTTTGCCTTAGAGAACGAGTTTATAAGAAGAGCTGGAATAGAAAAAACTGATACCTTTTATAATAAGATAATACAGGTGCTTGGCTACATCATCAGAGTACATAAAGTCATTTTAATGTCTCCTTCTTGAGTCTACTTTTTTGTCTATGTTTTTCTTTATTATTTGTTTTTATTATTTTTTTTTTTATCATTATATTGATATTATATTCAAATGATTTTTTAGAAGATGATTTGGTACTATTATACAAATGTCACTCCACTTTCGTGGATAGCACAAGATTTCATGATCTCATCATAAATGGAATTCTAAATGTGCTTGAAAGTCGACAGTTATGGAACCGTCTGGTAAATGATCTGGGATTGTTAACAGTTTAGAGTGAGTGGGAGTCAAAAGCTAATTTACTTTTAATAATGGTGTGAATGTGTTCATTTATCACTATAATCATTGTCCACGAGACAGAATATTATATGTCTAAATAAAATTAAAAAAATTCTAGCACTTTTAATAATATTATTAAAGGTAATTAATATCCTGATTTTAACTGAAAAGGACTCTTTGGGAGTTTGCCAAAGTCGTTAATTACGATCTATATAAGCAGATGTTATACTGTGAACACGTCAATCCTCGGCTATTCTCCGAATGCTATTTATACTGTGGACATGAGTTTTTGGGCTTGAGATTTGTACAGTGGTACCAATGGGTTTTTTGACATTGTAAATAAACCGCATTATTAAATCTCGTAGACGTAGAATATATATTACATGACTTAGAATACAGGCGGGTCCTTCAGGAGAGGGGAGTTAGTATTATATGCCAGCTGGTATATTTTTGTTTACAACCTCTGTAAGTCAGTCAGAGTAATATCTTAATACACTTTAATCATTCTCTATGTTATTTTGATTTTCAAAGTTTGTATTCTCTCCATGAACTATTTGTTGTATATGAATATTTAGTCGGAAATTATATACATTGTTACACGCCAACCAATCTGTGGTATAAGCCTGAGCTGTTCCGAAAGGAAGATTGGGGAAATTTATGGTAAAAAAGCCAAATACTGGTACTTACAGGAAACAGCTACACTACAGGAAACACTACACTTGGCTCTATTTGTTTATGTAGTTACTGTTAAATTGTATTATTGGTGCCATTTTCTTTCTCCGATAGCTAGTAAAGAATTTCAACTCACAACATACAAGTACCTTATAACCTTTCAAATCAAACAGAGTGAAGCTATAGGAGCAGCAAACCAAACCTATTCTATAAATTTTCAATTTTTAAAATTAGGATGGATGTTTCGTTGATTTGAAATATGTCTTGGTAAGGTAAGAAGTAGTTCTATAAGATAAATTAAAAAAAAAAATACAATAACATCAATATTTAACTTTTTACACCTAAAAGTTAAAAGAAATTTCCTTAAGTATGTCAGCTACTAGTGCATTTATCATAAGGTAAATTTCATCTATTTTCTATACTAATATACATTGATAACTACTTAACTTCATCCAGAATAAAAGTTAGATTCGTATTCTATGTTCTAAATGTATTAAATTTTTGTGTAATCTTTGAAGAATAATTAAGTAATTTTTGTTCTAGGAGAATGTAGTTGATATTCCTGAACAAGCTCAAGCTCCTCAAGCTCAGGTTGACCAGCCAGTTTACTTCCAACAGATGAGCAGAATTAATATAAATTCTGAAATAACTGATAGGCAAAAAGCTGTTGTGAATGCATTTAAACATGCTTGGAGGGGCTATAGAAAGTGGGCTTGGGGTCATGACAATCTAAGACCTATTTCAAAAAAGCCTAGTAATTGGTTTAAATTGGGTCTTTCAATTGTGGATTCCATAGATACAATGCATATTATGGGATTAAAAGAAGGTATATAAGTACATTATTTAATATATAACTAAAATAAATGTTTACCTTTCAATATTTCGTTAAAAATATAAAAGTTTGATTATTGATTATTAAGTACTAGTCGAGAGGAAGACATTGTATTTTTAACAATAGCAGTTTAGATTTTCAGAGTGGTGGTTGATTTCCTATCTCATCTAATAAAAAAATAAAATAACAAGTCCTATAATTAGTAATATACTGCACATAATAATCATACTTCTTAAGGTATCAGTTTTATGAATATTTTTTCATCCTAAGACGCCTTCAAAAATAGTTAATTCTAAATGTTGTCCGTTAAACCAATTAATTAGTAACAGTATCCTTCTATGTCATCTTCAACTCAGCTTGTGTTTCCTCATCAACTTTTTGTGTTATCTTCATTCATCACAGCAGGCTGTCCAGATCCTTCTTGATCATGAACATTTGTTTTTCCTTCATTAAAAAGCATATTTCTATCATTCACTATACCTTCACTGTAAACTTTGACAATTCGTGAATTTAAACAGGACGAACTATTTTTTGCATTTTAAAAATGAATAACAGAAGTACTTCACAATCTCTGGGATTATTGATTAACATGGAAACATATTCAAAACTGACAGAGATGTGATGTGTAATGGTGATGAAGTGGAGAACTGGTCAAAATTCACTAACCTAGAACTGATGTCTTGTAAGTCTGTGGACCTGATGTGCTATCGGTTCTTACTTAAAAAATAATACTCGTTCTATAATTTTTACTGCTCTTTGGCAATAAGAGTACTTGTTCAAAGTACCCAATTCAGTTATAGCAGTAGAGAATGAGAATAAATGAAGCATTAATTGACTTGAAGAATTGGCTTTCACATGATTCCTGGATTCTTAAAACTAAACGCATAAATAATATTTGAATATTCTTCCATAAATTATAAAAACAATAATTATTCTACTTTTTTTTTCAGAATTAAGAGAAGCTCAGGATTGGGTTGAACATTCCTTGAAGTTCACTGAATATAATGATGTAAATTTATTTGAAGTAACTATACGTGTATTAGGAGGACTCCTCTCTGCTTTCCATCTCACTGGTGAATCTATTTACAAAGATAAAGCTGTAAGAACCAGTGTATTTTGTTTATAAAATAGTTAGCTCATAAACATTAATTTTAAAATACAATATGTAGTTAGTTATTTTTATATATCCTGGTTTAATAGATTCTTAAATTGGCTAATCACAACTTCAGCATTGATATGGCTAATCAAAATTCTATTGATTTTTATGGGGCAGAAAATACATAATAAGATTTTGGATTATATTCAAGTTTTACTAATTTGTATTGATGCAATGTTGACTGTGGTGTAATAGTATTCTGTTCCACTAGCTTCAGCTAATTTTTTACTATGTTAACAACTACCTTACTGACAGATACTTCAAAGTCAATCATAACAATGCTTATTCATCTCTTTTTACTCAGTCTGCCGGTGTACCTCAAGGTAGTATCCTAGGTCCTATCCTTTACACAGTTTATACAGGTGACAACCCAAACTAATCCAACACTGTCATCGGCATAGGTGGTGATGATAGTGTTGGATTGGGTTGGGATGTCAGCTATATAAACTGTGTCCCGTACATGTATAAACGTGTATCCTATCAGTTAATAACGATCCATCTATTCCATCCCAAACTCTTCAATCACACATCACAAGTCTTGAAAAATGGTGTCAAAACTGGAGGATTAAAATAAATTTCAATAAATCCCATCAAATTACCTTCACTCTTCGTTGTAAACCTATGACTTTCTGTTCTACAGTATCCTTCAACAATAGCCCTCTTATCCCTGTCGAACAAATCCGATACTTAGGACTCCACCTTGACAAACGACTCACATGGAACCCCCATACCAGATTGAAACGACTAGAAACCGTCCGACGTTTTCGACTACTGCAGCACTTACTAGACAAACGCTCTAAGCTTTCAATCAATTACAAACAACTTATATATATGACAATAATAAGACCTATTTGGACTTAAGGAATTGAGCTTTGGGGCTCCACTAACCCATCGAATTCCTCTCCTATCCAATCCTCACTATCCAAAATCCTTCGTAAAATCCTCAACGCTCCTTACTTTGTCACAAATAAAATCATCCATGAAGACCTTAGTGTTCCATATGTTTCCGATTTGGCCCAATCCAGATACCTATCATTCCATCACAAACTGCAGAACCATCCGAATCCTCTCGTTTCAAACCTTGCTTCCTCCTCGATCCCTGATAACCCTCTGAGGTGCCTGAAAAGAAGATGGCCTCGGGACCTTCTAATATAGAACTTTAATTTGAGTTCTACCAATGGGTAGTTTCCCTTCATGTTGTACATGTCATGTTACCAATGTCACATTTACTTATTGTATTTTCTATGTAATACAGTTGTAAATTTCATTAAAATAAAATAAAACATTTAAAAAAAATATTTATGACTTGAAAAACAAAGTTTTACTTCAGTTTATATTTTTTGAGTAGTAGTATTTTGAGTATTTTCAGAGCCTTTACTGGCTGAATCATCAGCTTTATCTGTTATCTGTAAAACCAGAGTGACCTGGTACCCATTCTCTGTTGGTATATAATAAACAGAGGAATTTAGTCAGAAAAAGCCACCACCCCTTTAAAGAGCTCATGACCTATATCGTCATCCGGCAGGGTTGCAGTTTGAGGTAGCTCCTTTTCATAATTATCTGCTTTGCTGATGAACTGGTTATATTTGAGATCAATTGTAGCAACCTCCATTTCAACGAAGAAAAGCTAATGACAATAAATATGACATCAACATAGAGAAAACCATGTATTTTATTATGTCATATTTATTGTCATTAGCTTTTCTTCGTTGAAATGGAGGTTGTTACAATTGATCTCAAATATAACCAGTTCATCAGCAAAGCAGATAATTATGAAAAGGAGCTACCTCAAACTGCAACCCTGCCGGATGACGATAACGATATAGGTCATGAGCTCTTTAAAGGGTGGTGGTGGCTTTTTCTGACTAAATTCCTCTGTTTATTATAAGCTTAGAACGGCTAGTGTTAGTCCTACTCCTACTCCTATTTCCTGCAATGCCTATTCTGTATCTAATACTTTAACTCTGTCAATTTAGACAAGTCAATGAAATGCTTCCCTGTTCCTCTAAATGACCTTTTCTTAATGTAAACATGAGATCTTGACAGTTTCTGTTTTGCCTGAATCTATATTATGTGTCGTCAAAGACTGGTTCAATAGCAGTTCTGAGTCTTTTTTCTAAGATTTTAGAATACATTTTGCTTTGGATGCTGAGGAAAGAAAGTTATAGCAAATAGTTCAATGTTGGTGTAAAACTCATTTATATTAGTTACTCATAGAGGATTTGATATTAGAAATTTTCTTATTTAGCCACACTCTCTGTCTGGTCTTTAGTGAAATAGTACCAACAAGAAATTTTAATCTGTGCTTTACTAAATCATGATAGTAAAACACTGTCTGTTCTGTATTGTTCCTCAATACACTGCACTTGTGTATTGCTTTCATCTTTGAGGTGATTAGATTGGAGAACACAGCTTATTAAAATATTAGATAAGGAAAAGTTCAGTGTTTCGATGTCTGCAATTAATCTCCTTAAAATCGTAAAAAAAAAATAATAGTGTTATAGATATAAAACCTATTGTAAATTGCATTTACATAATTTTATTTTGGTTATTGTTTTTGTACATTTTTATTTAGTGAGAAGTATATTATAATTTATAAATTGAATATACCAATTGCTTTTAGAAAGACCTTGGTGAAAGATTACTACCCTGTTTTACACAATCTCCATCTCCGATTCCATATTCTGATGTGAATCTTGCATCCCATAATGCACATTCGCCTGGTTGGGGCCCTGATAGTTCTACATCAGAAGTAACAACAATACAATTAGAGTTCAGGGACCTTTCTAGGATTACAAATGATCCCAAATTTGAGGTGAGATACTAGCTTAGTTTTGTATTATATTGATAGATGTTCATATATGTAATAATTGGCAAGCTATGGCTAACATCTAATATGTTTTTATTAGGGTGTATAAAAATGTCTGTTTTTCTCTTTTCGTGTACGATGTTGTCTCTCAAAGTGTACGATGTTGATCTTTCGTGATTCGTATTCATTAAATCTTTCATAGTTTAATTTTATGCATTAAAACGGTGTTTTTAAAATTTGTGAAATAACAGATCTTGATTTTTATTTCTATAAATTTTTTTTTTCTATTCTAGGCTATAGTGACTTTTGAGAAATAATAAAGTGAATGGAGAGGATTTATTTTCCACAGGTTTTTTATTTTTCTTAATAAGAGATATTACATTCTGTCTCAATTAAGGACATTTATAATAGAGATCCAAGATCTTATTTACAGAAAACATAAATTAATTTATTAAGTAATAGCAGTTATATACAAATATTAAGAAAAGTAAATAGCATAAAGAGAAAAAAAAATTATTGTAATCTACATATTGAGAAGAGAATAAATATATATATATATATATATATATATATATATATATATACAGAGGAGTATGTCCAAGATTAGTAACAAATGAAATACATCTCAAAGACATAAAATTTTATGAACATGAAAAAAAAAATTAAAAAACAAAACAATCAATACCTATTCACGATGCGCTGTGACAAGTAATAATCATTTCCGTATTAATAACATAAAAAAAAAAAAAACGATGTGTAAAGAAAATTAAAACCTTGGTACATCATAAATAATTAGGCAGCGACTGATTAGATTGTGAAGAGGGTTTGGAATAGGAGGGTTTTTAATGTGAATAAAGATGATGCATGGTAAATTTTATGTGGGATGGAATTCCTGATTATGGTGGAACTGACAATAAAGGAATGCGCTGTGGACAATAAACGCAATTCTGTGGAAAGGGATGCAAAGGTCAGAGGGACGAGATCTTGTGGGGAGGGAGTGAATTAGATGACTTGAATTGAAGGTAGGACGGGCGATGATTATTGATTATTTGGTAAAGTTGCGTGCCTAGGAAGTATTGTCTTCTGAAGGAGGGGAAGAGCCATCCTAACTCAGCATATTATATATAAACATGAGACCATCTTGGGGTCCCATTGACAAATCTTATGAAGCCATTCATAATTCTTTTCAGTCTGTCTCCGAATTCCACCAAGAGGCCTCTGTACACCACACAGCTATATTGAAGGTGGCATAAGATGAAATAAGATACTAAGAGTTTACGTGTGGGCATAGGTAGAGATGACAGAAGCGATGGAATAGTTTCAGGGTACCAATTGACTGTCGGGAGATGTTGGCAATATGGTGATTCCAGGAAAGAGTTTGGTCACAGAAAATGCCGAAGTTTTTAACTGAGGAGCTGAAGGTGATGGGATGGTCATTTAGGTACAGCTTAGGAAAGTTGGAATTGGATCTGAGAAGGGGTTTGGAACCAATGACAATGGCTTGAGTTTTAGCAGTGTTTAACTTTAATTCATTTAGGTTTGCCCAGGCAGTGATCCAATTTAGATCTTCTTGAATTTTGCCAAACACATCGTACAACTCAGAGGGAGAGGACAGGTAAATTTGGGAGTCATCGGCATAGAGGTGATGGGAACAGTGAAGAATTAATTTATGAAGGTCGTTGATATAGAAACTAAAAAGGAGAGGAGATATGTTAGGGCCCTGGGCTACTCCTGGGGACAGAGTAAGGTTAGGAAGAAAAAGGTTGATTAGAGATAGTGACAGCCTGTGCACGTTGAAAGAGGAAAGATTGAAACCAAAGGATAAAGGTATTGGAAAAGGATAACAATACTAATTTGGAAAACAGGATGGGATGGTTAATGGTATCAAAGGCTTTGGAAAGGCAAGGAGTACAAGGGCAATTATGTCTGTTTGTCATCTATAGCAGTCTGAAATCACTAATGATTTTAATTAGGGGGGATTGTGTGGTGTAACCTGGTCGAAAACCGGATTGGTAAGGGTCAAGTGAATTGGACTGTTCAAGGAAATTGGAAACTTGGGATTTCATTATTCTTTTATTAGAGGTTTTGAAAGGTTCGAAAGGATTGAGATTGGCCAGGTGTCTAATAGTTCTCCAGATGTTCCTAACCTTAGTCTACAATTTTGAAATTTATGTCTAGCATACTATCCTTAGCTTAACAATTGCGAGTATGTAAAAAAACATTATTGCTGGTTTTTATGTTAAGAAAAATGTAATATTTCAAAACTTAAAATGTTTTATTACAGGAAGCAGCTAGTAAGGTATCGAAACATGTTCACACTTTACAAAAACTTGATGGGTTGGTTCCTATTTTTATTAATCCTAAAAACGGCTTATTCCAAAGTTATTCAGATATCAAACTTGGTGCTAGAGGTGATTCTTATTATGAGTATCTTGTAAAGCAGTGGATACAGACTGGAAAAACTATTAAATAGTAAGTCATTTATTTTTCGTATTAATCCAATGTTCTATTAAAATAAAAAGTACTTTCTTTTATTATCTAATTAATGTTTATAAATATTTATTAGAAGGCTATAAAGAAAAATATTTTATGCATTATACTATACCTACACAATAAAAAAAAAAAATAATAATACAAATTATTATTAAACAAAAATAATTCATGCTTATATGTAAAGAAAACTAACTTTAGATAAAACAGGATGATAAATAAACTAACTATTGGAATTATATATACAATAATATTGAGTAACCTCAATATTTACTACATATTATTAATTGATTATAATAAAGTTTATTATAATAGTAATCGAAGATTGCAAATTAAGAGGTCAATCAATTTATTACTTATGATTTTAATGATGAAAGGTAAAAATTTTCTCCTATATCACCCCATGCCATCTCAGAAAACAATAAAATATCCAATATCTTCATCTTATAGGTAAACTATTCTTTCCTGTTGGCGCTACAGTCTTGAACTACAGTACATGAAGATCTTTGACCGCGAGTGTGGTCTCCTAGACCACATTCCGATTTCCGATTTAAAGTACGAGGTAGGGTCATCAATCCTGCTTCCGGTAGCCTGACAGGCCTCACATACCCGTGGGGGAGGGGGAGGGAATCTTGGGCAGTGTGGTCGATCACCCATCCAAGTGCTAGTCACATTCGGCGTTGCTTAACTATTACTTATTGCAAGCGCCTTAGCCCACAAGGCTATCCTATATATACACACATATCCCTATCCCATATGGCGCTACAGCCCTGCCAAGGGCCTCTTCTACTATTTTACGCCACTGCTCTCTATTCAGTGCCTTTGTCTTATTCCTAGGCTATCGAGGACCTGTTTTAGGTCATCTAGCCATCTTTTCCGAGGACTTCCCCTGCTTCTCCGACCTCCAGGCTCTCCTAATAACTTTTCTGGGATTCTGTCTCCTGGCATTCTCCCAATGTGCTCTAACCACCTCTACTGACTCCTTCTTACGAAGGACACCAGATCTGGCTCGCAGTACATTTGTTGGAGCTCCACATTTTTTCTTATCCTCCATCTTCCCTTATCACAAACAGGTCCAAATATTCTCCTGAGGATCCGAATCACTCTTTTTTTTTTTTTTAGTACCCAGCTTTCACAGCCAGACGTCACAACCGGTCTAATGATTGTTTTCTATATAAGGACCTTCCCTCTGTTCATCAGACCACTAAACTTTAATGGTTTCTGGAGAGCAAAGTAACGCCTGTTACCTGCATGAATCCTTGATTTAATTTCTTCCAAAATTTCGTCATGCTCGGTAATGAGAGATCACAGATATTTAAATTTCCTTACAGCCCGGAAGTATGCCTGCCTAAATTTAGTTGCACCGAGGTATTATTCTTATTTTTAGATGTCAACCTATCATATATGGTTCCATTTGAATTAGTCCGTATGGCATGGATGCCATATTCAAGAGTGAGGTTGAAGAGAGTTGAGGAAAGAGGATCACCTCGTCTTAAGCCACTTTTTATTGCAAAAGTGTCCGACAGCATATCCTGTATTTTGACCTTGCAACTAGTGTCCGTATGGAGTCATCTGAATTTATCTCAATAATTTTGTTGGGACCCCTAGTTACAGCATAACTTTTATTACCTACCTAATGCTATCGTAGGCCTGCCTATAGTCGATAAAAAAATGGTACAGATCATTATACTCATTATATTATAACATATTCATGTGAGTGTTCCAACATTTGTTGGACTGAGAATATATTATCCACTGTATATATTTTCCACGTGGTCTGAAGCCACATTGATAGTTCTCCAAAATATTTTCAGACCATTTTTGTAGTTTTTGATTAAGTAGGATCGCGAAAACTATATATGTCACTGTCAACAGAGATATACCCCTGTAATTTTCGCACAAGACCTTATCCCCTTTCGTAAATACCCACATTCTACTTGCTTAGCATCTTTTCTGTAGTCCATACTTCTAGAATTAAGTCGTGTAGCTTTTTCAGGATATAGTCACCACCATATTTTAGCATTTCTGCATCAATACCATCCCAGCCAGAGCTTTTGTTAAGTATATATATATTTATATTAAAACAATGACATAAATAAATAAATTTTGTTGCTTACCATAGACTTTACACTTCCTCAGGATTCCAAGGAATATTCACCTACATAGACTGAGTCCATATCTTAGGCTTTGATTAGACATTTTTTAGAACATTTAGAATTTCCTAGATGGTCCCAACAACAGAGGTTTATTGTTATTCCTCTAATATTTTTCAATATAGAAGGTTGTACTAGGCTTTGGTTGTCAATGGTCAGTTCTTGTTTCTATTTGAACCTCTCAAAACTTGAGTGGATGTTATATTGTTTCATTGTTTCAATTAAGTATATGTTTCTTTGCCATTGAATTTTTCATTGTTGACTTTTTGCCTTGAACATTTTTGTGGCAGGAGACAGAGACATGGCCTAAAAAATCCATGGAAAACTTGCAGGATGACAGCAATAGAGAAGAGTGATATTTTATAACTCAGTTATTAACTGTTCAGCCCTAATGTATTTACTATTAGTCTGAAAAATGTACAGTCCATTTTTTTTGCTATTACACAAAACTAGCACAGTTTCAATATTTCAAGTGATGTAAATTCAATTTATAAATGAAACTCAATAATATTAATTTTTATTATGTTTTTGATTGTTGTTCACTTAGAGTGTTACTGGACTACATTGATTAACTTTTTTTTTGATGTTTCAGTTTACATGACGATTATGTTGAAGCTATTAAGGGCGTAGAGAAACATCTTGTTAATAGAACATCTAAAAGAAAACTTCTTTTCATCGGAGAACTGAAGGGTGGATCGAAGGACTATGTACCAAAAATGGTAGTTATTTTATTTATATTTTTAACAATATTTTTAATAATATTTGCTAATTTCTTGCTACATATTATTTAGGATTTAGGAAAGAATTATTTATATTTTATTTAGAAATTATGTAAAGCCATGTTCAATTTGAAACAATGCAGAGAGATAGAAATAAATAAATTCCTGAGGTGTGTTGTATAATTTGTGATAGATATAATTATACTGTTATGGGAAGTGGTCAGCTACATGATTAAATTTTGATAGAATGAAGTATTAAAAAAAAATTCTGCCATTTTAATTTAATGAAACACCATTAAACTTTTTTTCTTATTCTGAAATAAATAAAAATGATTTGCAGAAGTATTTTTGTTGTTTGAGATCCTTAATTTTCAATACTTTCCTACTAGGCAATAAATGTTAAATATTTAATTGTGACTTTAGGACCACCTGGTATGTTATCTGCCTGGTACATTAGCATTAGGATATCATCATGGACTACCAGAATCGCATATGAAACTGGCCCTTGATCTTCTTCACACTTGTTATTTCACCTATGCTGACAGGCCTACATTCCTAGCTCCTGAGATAACATATTTCAGTCTACAAGTAATAAAATGTTTTTATTTTTAATTATAAAATAATTAATTATTAATTTAATTTGTTTAATAGTTGTTAGCTAACCCACAATTATCTATTCTTATTGTTTTAAGAAGAATAGATAATATGCATGAACGTTTTGTGATCAAGTCATATAAAGTTCTTTCTGATTCACTGAATCATTTAATAGGTTTTTGATTTATGAAAATGTTTGGCTTAAATTAGACTTTAGTTTTGTCGTATTTTCCTGAAAATAATTTACTCTTTGGACTGTATCAGAGGAGGTGGAGTGCATTTTATATCTATTTTCGAATCCTTAGAAATTGATTATGGGGGTTTCAAAAATGTCTGGTGTGTGTGTGTGTATTTTTTCTTTCTTTCACTACATTTCGAAACATTCAGCGGGCCTCTTTGGATCAAACAAACTGAAATTCAGTGTATAGGTTGTTTTCTTGGCCGAAAAATTTCATAAACGTTTGGGTACATTTTCTAAAAATTTCGTCATTTTCCCAGCAGCTTCTGTGTTCAAAGTTTTGCTAACCCAATAAATAAAGTTAGTGGGTTAAAATTTTAGTGTGTAAATAATTGAATTGGTGTTGAGAGATCTTCATTTTGTGGTTTTCAATTTTTTTTCCCAGATCCGCTATTTCGTTTGCAGGTTTTCCACACCTTTATAGCTCCTCCTTATTGGGTTAGTGAGAGGGTTGAAATTTGTATGTAAATTAAGTTGGTGCTAGAGAGTGCCTTTCAGGCATCTCTTATTTTATCTTACGCCCACCATTTCGTTTGTGATTTTTGCTGTTTTTAAAGTTATAACTTCAAAAAGAAATTACAATTGGTATTGCGAATGGTGAATAGAATTAGTTAGATCTTGATGTAGCCAGAGAAGAGGGTTATTGAGGGTGAGAACCTCTAAGGCCCACCACGTGCCAGTTGATGGGAGGAGGTAGGAAGTTTATCAATTGAACTAGTATAAAACGCCATTTGATATGGATAAGTTTCAGAGTTTGGAAGGGAGCATCTCAAGACTAACTGAATCAAAGACTTTTGAAAAATTAAAAGAGAACCTGACTTATAATTTTGTGTTTGTCAATGGGAGATTGAAGGTCTTATTTCATTTTCAGAAAAGCTGAATTTGTATAATATTGAAATCAAAACTAAAATATATTTTTAATGGACAGGATACTGTTAATAGAATTTTCCACTTTTCAAAATATCTCAGTAAATATGATAACTGCTTTCTATAATTACTCTGTTGATTCTTTTAGACTGATGCTCCTTTCTCAAACATATTTTCTTTTTTCTTTCATCAGGTTATTTTGTGATGTACTTTGAGGTATTAGTCTATTTGCTTATCTCACAAAGAAACCAAAAAAGAGCTAAAAAATAATAGAGTTTGCATTATATATATATAAGGTATAAATATTAATTTTTTGAGTTGTACAAGACATTCTTAAAACATAGCTCATGTTTTCTAGGATGATGGAAGAGGAGAAATGTATGTCAAAAATAGTGATGCTCACAATTTACTGAGACCTGAGTTTATTGAAAGTTTATGGTATATTTATCAAATTACTGGAAATACTACATTTCAAGACTGGGGATGGGAGATTTTCCAGGTAGAGAAACAATTTTATATTACATTTATTTCACAAAGTTTGTAAGGAATGGTTCAAAAACTGATTAATATTGTGGTACTACTGCTGTTTATGTTATATGCAAGTAAAAATATCATAATTTATGGTATTTAAATTTTTATATTGGTTTATTTATGTTTTTTAATTAAGATAAGATTCATTTGATATTTTAAATTACTGTTTTCAAAAAGTTACAAAGAAAAAAAATTGAGGATGGTTAAAATTTAATTTTTCAGTCGATTGAAAAATATGCTAAAGTACCAGATGGCTATACATCAATTGGAAATGTCAATGATCCTAATGACACTAAACCGAAAGACATGATGGAGACTTTCTTCTTAAGTGAAACTTTGAAATATTTCTTTCTTCTCTTTTCAAATAATCGTAAATTGTTGGATATAGATAAATATGTTGTGAATTCTGAAGGACATCCAGTGCCTATTTATTCATCCTGAAACATAGCATGTGAGTTATATATTTATTATTACTTAATTTAATCCAGATTATTTTCCTTGATTGACAGTAAATGTATGCAAAATGGTTACTTTACATTTATTTAACAGCTCAAATTTAATTCTATTCATTAGAATTACAAGAGCAATAATTTTATAATTAATTACCAGAATTTATATAATGTGGGGAAAACTTACAAATTTAAATATGTTTTGAAGGGGTTTAGATTTACTGGAATATATTTTTATATTGGATATTGGATACCTTTAGCATGAATGTCTCAGACAACTTTTGGATAATAAAAGTTACAATGAATATGTTTTAAGTTTATTTTGTGTTTCTTAGTTTTATATATATATATATATATTTTTTTCTTTTAGATGCTTCTTTAACCAAAGTGAAAAAAATAAAATAAAATACCCATATGAAATTTATTTTCTGGGAATAACATTATGACTAGTTAAGGCTTTGGTCCATATTGTATTTTTATAATATACTAGGTTGTTTATTTCATGTTACATATTTTTTAAATTATTGAATTCTACTCTTACAAGCAAAGTCCATTGTTTTTAACTACTTTCACTCATCTTCCTACCAGTAATTGGATTTTATGGTGGTACTACTCCTTTGGTTTTGAGGCAAAGAATTTTTCACATCAAGTTTTTACATCCTCATAATTTTTAAAGGTGCGACCTTTTAAAAAATAAGCCATTGATCTAAACAAACTATAATCTGAGTGCTTCACATTTATCACATGCAGGATGAGGTAAAATGTTTACTGCTTGCAGTTCCTTTAACTTTTCCTTACATATAAACAAACGAGAACAATGTGCAGTTGGCATTGTCTTGCAAAATGGCTTGGTTCCTGTTGATCAAAGCGGTGTAATTTGCATTCAAAACTACATAAACTCTGTCTAGCTGTTTACAGTAAAGGTTTGAATCCACTGTCCAACCACCAGAACAAGCTCAAAATGCAAAAGACCTTTAAAGTTATACCGAAAACAAAGCATTACTCACACCTCAACCAATCTTAAAATCGATGGCCAGGTGGGCCATATCCACTGCTTATGTTTGCTAGGTTTTTTTAAAAATATTCACTTGTGATAACGGATTTTTTTCTAGGACCTGTCATCTTTCGGATTTTGATATCAAATTTTGCAAATATCAACTTGCTACTGGGTTTGGGCCTCTGTCAAGTCATAAGGGCCGGACCTTGGTCTTAAATTCACTATGCCCAAGTTTTTAAGATGACGAGCTATTGTAGCATTAGGAGCTAGAATTTAGAAGCCATTAGAATTAGATATTAGAAGAACTACAGCCAATAAATCATGAGGAGTTGCATGTGGATCCTAGTTCACACATTCAAGAAGAACATCATCATCAATGACTGATGGCGACTTCATTTAGATTTATCTGCAAGGCTCATATACCCATTTTTGACGATTGAACAAAAGTGCGGCAGTATTTTAATGTATAACTGACTCTACTTTTATGGCACAAATTTCTTCAGTGACTGCCTGTGCTTAGACTTTTTTCCAGTAATATCACAAAAAAAACCGAGAATCACAAGTTTTCTTCTGAAATTGCATTTGCGTTTTAAAAATGTAAATGATCCCATTAAGCCTACTCGAGTCAGAAGAAATTAAAGGATTAGTCAAAATAAACATTGAAACAAATAGTAGGAACATAAACATTCTTATAGGATTAATTCAGTAATCCAATTGAATATCAGAGTATCTCTTTCCAATAAGGATAACAATATGTACTGCATAGCCTTTTGTTTAAAAGCTTGTGGCCTTTAGGGTTAATAGTAAGGAATCAGCCACTGAACTTCACAGTAGCGGATAAGAAGATAAGATGCAACATCCCAGCTTGCACCCTCAAGCTACACCACCAATGATGGTCTTCTCCTTCCACATTCAGCTCATCCACCTTGCATATCCTTGAGTACCTTACACTGCTCACGAGACAATTGAGTTAGCGAATAATTACCACTATAACCAACTTCTCTCTTACACTCTTGACATGGTTTCTTAGTTTATCCACCATATCCCTTGCTTTATTAGCAGCAGATTCCAGGTGATGACATTTCTCAACAGGCAGGCCTTTCATAAGAACCTGGCTTTGGGAATCTACAGCCTTAGCTGCTGACCTTGGAGCAGTTCCCTCACACCTGAAAAATATAAATGTTTTCTTGATTTCCTTCAGACAAGACTGGTTGGGCTCTTGCATCCTTACCTTCAGGCTTTTGAAAAAGCTCTGTTGCCCTAGCTTGGGAACCTTCCCTTTGTGCCTTGTCTGCCTGACCTGGTGGGACTCCTGCATCCTTGTCCGAAAGTCCTAATATAGGTTCCTGTGCATCAGATAAATATAATATTATTTGGTCATTCCCCTTTCTTCTCATATTTTTGGAGGACAACAATGGCAGGCCTCACTTCCTGAAATGCGTAATGCCCTACCACCAGTTCAACACTTGAATGTGAAGTACTAAATTTAGAGGTGCCCGAGTCCTCCTACCTGTGCATTTTTGTATGAAGTCCTCCATTAAAGTTCAGTGCAAAGCTCTAACTGACAATTCATCCAATGTTAATGACTTTTCATCTGAAATATTAAAATATTCTTAATAGGACAAATCTTCAGACAATGGAAATTCATCATAATAAATAAATGTATCTGTCATTTTGGTCTCACGAATATAAGAGTGAACCAAGTACTAACAAAAGTACTTAAAAATAATGGAACCTGCCTCTTATTTTTCAAAAATTTCATCGGATTTCCCGTTAGGTCACACTTGGAGTTGACGATAGGTGCTAATAACGACAAGGAAAGCTGAGAAATGATAAGCAGAGGTTAAGTCACTGATGCCTGATCATTCTGCAAAGAGTGGGGGAGATTCCTGGTAGCTCTAGAGCCAGGCCGCACCCTGAAATTCGACCTGATCACAGGCGAGGATTTGAATGGAAATAACGAAAGTATATGTTATTCTAAGTAAAATGAACTTTATCTGCCATTCCAGAGCTGCTGATTTCAAAAAATGGTGGCTGATTTAAGAATGTTAGGCTAGTAATTTGAGGATTGAAACGGGAGATATATTGCTAAAAATGTGGGAAAATTTGTTATTTTCTTAATTTGTGTGTATGTGGGGGGTTTAGACATGTAAAAACCTAAATTACAAAGGCAAGCTACCAAGGCAAAACTTTTTACAGCCAAAAAACCATATTTTATGATATTTTTACCTATAACTCCTAAATGGTGCAAGAAATTGTAGGAAATTAAAGAACGTTGAATCGTGCATCAAATGAGTACCTAAATTTAATAATTTGGTTAAGTAGTATGGTAGAAAACCGCGATCAACGAATACTGATTTTTATCAAATTTGTCAAAAATTGAGAGAAATTACTATAACTGGCCATGTTACTTGAAAATGAGATCGCTTAGAGGAAAAACCAAATCAACTGTAAGTAAGTTATAATTACCTTTCTCCCTCTCTAGTCCTGACACCATACTCATTTTTTTCCCTTCTCAACTCTTGATTCACCATTTGTTTGGAGACCACTCTTGTCATTCCTGATAAAATATGCTGAAGGATGACCATATTTTATATAATTTGTTTGTTATAAATTAAAACATTAGATTAATAAATAAACATTAATAATCAAAACCATTCAGATATGATTACCATAGTAATTATTATAAGCATCTCATGTTTTTCAGATCAAGTATTCTTTTTGAAGATTACAGATACGCTGCCTGGAGGCTATTACATTCCTGTTTTGTCTTATATTCTTTTATCTCAGTATGGTTGAAAAGATTGAAGTATTTTTTTGAACTTATTCTGAGATACAATGGAAAATAAATACAATCTTACTTTTTTAACACTTGAAATATTTTACTTTTTGACATTGTGTAAATTTTTACTAAATATCTATTGAATTTTATGTTGCAAACAATATTGTTAACTAGTCATAACCTTGTTCAATAATTTGTTATACCAGTTGCTCAAATTAAACGTCTTTTATAATTCAGTTATATTTTATCAAATTTTTTATGTGATCACAGATTGTTTTTAGGCAGATTTGTTGTATTAATGTTATTAGTTTTACCTAATTTTTTATATAAAGCTAGTTATTTTAAAAGAAAATTTTATTAGATTAAGTTTTGAGCCTGTATGTTGTTATTAGCACCTTGGCTGCATAAATATTTTTAGTATCACTTGTGATTTATGTTGTAACATGGTTTTTATTGTGATATTGTACAATGAGATCTTAAATTAATTTTAATGTAAATATAATTATCTCATTAAGAGGTCTTTAGTGTAAATAAATATCTGTTCTCAAAGAAAATTTACTTAAACAATTTTTCCCATTTACAATAGTAACTATTAGTATAGAATGTCATGACCATCATACTTTAGCTGCCTGATCATTTTTTTTTTTAGTATCTTGGGTTCAACATTTTTGTAAATAAACCAAAATACAGCTCATTATTACCTCAATACCATTCTGTTCTCAACATATATTGCTCGCTTACAATTAGTTGCTAAGCCAAGGGTGAACTCATGCGGCACTAAGTTAAAACTGATGTTTTTTTTTTCCTTTACCTCCCTTTATTATTTACAAATACAGACATATTTGCAAGATTATATATTATCTTATGTTAAACGTACATATTTGTAAATAAAATCAGGGGCAAGGAAGAAAAATAGTTTCACCTTAGAGCCCCATGAGTTCTCACCCTCGGACTGCCAACCAATAGTGGGTATACTAAGGTGTCTGGTATTGTCCTATGACTTATAGAAACATCAATGAAAAAATATCATCAATCACATCATTTATAAATACATTAGAAAATAATTCATTAAACGAAATGAACATTGGCATAAATTAAAAAATCTAGCGTTTGCATCACACAAAATTTACTTATCACCGTTTTTTTAGCAGAAATATGTTCTTTCGGAGTAAGGGAAGTGGAAGTAAAAATTACAGATGGTATAAAATGTTATTTATAATAATTGATTACTGCTTGTTTTTTTACAGCTGTTTAATGTATTATATGTATTATTTTGTTTGTTGCTAACCATTTCCTTATATGATTGGATATTTTACTTATTTATTTGATTATAATAATTAAGTGCTATGAAATATTTTTACTATGATAAAAGTGCCACTGACTTATAGAAAATATTTATACGCTAGCATTTATGAAAGTCACTCATGTGTATGTATATAATATTATCGGAGCCCTTCTTTCTCACTATCTCCTGTATGCTGGTAAGCGTGGAGTAGCTGCCTCTGACCATCTTTTCCAACGGTCCCTATCCTGTGCAAGCCTTCTCATCTCCGGCATGGTGCTTCCTCTCGCTGTGTCAATTCTCTCAATCAGGTCTGCATACATAAGCCTTGGACTGCCTTGAGGTCGCCTTCCTCCCGGTCTTGCTTCTAGAATCCACCTGGCCTTACGGTCATCTCCCATTCTGTTAACATGCCCATACCACTTCAACTGCCTTTCTTCAATCGTCTCTAGGATGGATCTAACTCCTAGTTCATCTCGCACCCTTTCACTCCTTATTCGATCTCACCTGGTTTTTCCTAATATTTTCTGTAGGAATCTCATTTCTGCAGATACAACCTTGCTGGTGTCCAGCTCTCCGATCCATATCGCAGTACTGGGAGAAAAACTGATTTGAATAGCAGAATCTTCGCTTTTCTGCTCAACTCCTGCTTTCCAATCAGTGTCATGGATATTTGGTAATATATTCCATTGGCCTTTTGGACTCTATTAATGACCTCCTGGTTGGTCTATTCTTCCATCCCTGCCAATCATTGTTCCCAGGTAGCAGTAGGTATCTGTTTGCTCAAGGGTCTATCCATTGCAAATGATTATAAGATCCTCGTTCCTTCGCCCAACACACATGACCTTGCTTTTAAAGGGATTGATCAGCATGCTTCTGAGTTACAGTTCTTTATCGGAGCCCGTTATATCAAATTTCTAAATTTTTATTGTAATATGATGTGCCTTTAGAGGTTATAATTATATGCACTTATAAATAATCAAATTAATAATAACATATGATTCAATATTTTTAACGGCCGACTTGGTCACCAAACCTAAATTCCATCATTTCAATTTAGCATACATACATAGGTACATCAAGGGAAAAGGGGAAGGTGGAGCAGCTGTCCTCTTCCATCATAAACAATAAAATAGTAACAAATATGAACATCAACTTTCTGAAAAAATTATTAACAGCTAGAAGTTAATATTTCAACATTTTGAAAGAAACTAAGTACATAATAAAGACTAATTCTCCCAATCTCAAATTAATTAATTAATTGTCTTAGCTTCTATTTTTACCTAGTTATGCCTTTACAGCTTACCTACCCTTCCACATACTTAACAAATTAGCACCATCATTTAAGATTCGACAAGATAACATCAAAAGGCTAAAAAAAAGTATGCCTCATCTTCAATCACTAATTGATGTTAGAAGCAGATCAAAAAGATGCCAGAAAATAAAACATAAAATAATACTAAAACTAAGAACTCTGCTTTTAGAGAAAAAGTTTTTAACTGAATTTTTTTTTCTTCAAAATTCTGAAAAAAACAAAATGAGGTTTATGGTTATTTTTTTGACAAAACTTATGATTTTAACGAACAGGAAAAATAAAATTTAAAAAGTAGGTAGCCAAACAATTTTTTACTTCTTCACTACCTAAGGCAGGATAACTTGTATTTGTGCCGAAAGTGATAAAAAATTATATAATTTTCACAGTTCACAATAGCATGGGTAACAACTAATACATACTAAATAGATGCTGGTCTCTGTAAAAAGTTTAGAAAATGTAGCAATTTAAAAAAAAAAACTAAATAACTTTTTATTAACTGAATCATAAATTAAACAATTTTTGCTTATTTAATTTATAGTCTTTAATTTTTTTTTATTATTTCAAGAATTTGCTGTGGGCACAAGGTTAAAACCCCTAATAAAAGGTCTGACTCCGTAATTGAAAGAAAAATTATAATTTATCCATCTTTTAGGAACAGAAGTCAAATTACATCATATTATTGGTCTTATTTTATAAGTAGAAAGTCTACAAAATAATGAGCTAGAAATTTTTACTTGTTGCCATAAATGAATCGACTTTTCTCTAAGTTAATTATTATCAGGAATTAGTCTCTGTTAAAAACTTAGGCCTTTTCATTGATCAAACCCTCAATTTCATTTCAACATTATTTAAATATAAGATGATTTAAGACAGATAGTTCTTATTACATGTTCATAGACATGTAATACAAATTTCTATGAACAATATTGTTATTCTTTAGGGACATTATCCCAGAATAAAGTTGATTTCTATTTCTAAGATACTAGAGAAGTGTACTACAAGGAATGTAAACAAAGATTTGGAAGGAATAACATGATCGTAGAAAATTCTAGTTTCCATCTTAATATTTTGTAATTAATGCTAAATAATAAAATTACAAGAAATAAAAGTATACATAAACCTCATCGCCATTATTGATGCTCTTTGTTTCTGACAGTATGATTAATAAGAACAGATCATTCTGCATGTTTACTGCATCTGGAAGAGTCAGAGAATTTTATGAAAAAAACTGAATTCCAGAGAATTTCTTATCTCTTACAATTTTCTATAGCCTTTATATCTTGTTCGTTCTAGTCCTGATGAAGACCTACTTAGTCGAAATGTTGGGTTAAATAAAATAGTTTTTCACTATTTTAAGTTTTTTTATGATCACCATCTCTTTCCTCAATATTATACTATCGTCAACCAGGAATACTATTGAGTATTCCAAATTCCAGTATTCTTTTGAAAATGTTTACATAATAGTGATATATACAAGTATATATATATGACACTTAATGTTATGGTATGTTTATTAATTTTTCATGATAAACATTACTTTTATGTTTTTTATAATTGTGATTTTTATATAATAAATGTTAAAAAACTTTTTCTATGCCAATTAAAGCAATTTATTCATTTAAACATTTTTATACCATAAAACGGGTTTTAACTTAGTAAAAGTTTAAAAGCTAGTACAAAATATGTTACTTTTTTTTTATTTGTAGTCATAAGTTTTTGTTAGATTTCTTAAAAAATTATAAATCATAAAAAATATTTGTATAAGCCTTTCAGTATTGTGGATTGTAGTACGTATTAAAACGCTTAAATGTCGCGCCACTTATGTAAAATGATCATTATTAAAGATCAGTTGATGAAAATTTAGTCAGGAGCCAAATACTTTTTTTTACCTTACTTTATCACTACTGAAAATTTATGAGATCCATAAAAAATAAATTGAAAATTAACATCAAAAGTAATTGCTTATTGCTTCATCGTATTTTAGAGGTATGAAGATAAAACCTTTTACTTTCTACAAAATAGGCTCACTTACCTAACTATCTCAGATTGTAACATTTAAAAACACTTGCATGACAATAAAGGGAATTTACTATACATAAAACAGATAATACATTACTAGTTACATTTTTAATAATGAAGATACATTTGACAAAAACAACTTCTTTATCATAAAAGAAAAAAAAAAGTAAAAGATTTTGGTCACTTCTTAATATGATTGGTGAACATGCACTATTAATTGGAATTTACAGAAATTGATACATATTTAGGTAGTTTTTTTAAAAGGATGTGTTAAAACAATCTGTAGTTGTAAAATAACATTATGCAAACAAAAGTTAACATCAAATATAAAGAGTGATATATACTTTAACAAGATATAACTGTTACAAAAGTTCAAAAGCCATACATAGAGGTACAAACTCATTTGTTAAGTTCATTAGTATCTGTCATGAATATATAATTTTCTTTCTTAAATTAACTTGTCACTTAAATGCATAACATTTCTTTCGTACAGCTAAAATAGCATCAAATAGTCTCTTTGGACATAAATTATCATTTATAAATGGTACAAAGATTACTACAGCTAAATAACTTTTACTCATCTATGGTTCTTCGGCAATATAGAAGTCATGGAATACAAAAAAGAAACATAGGCAACTGTTATTCAATACTTAAAGGAGATAAAATTAATGTAATTTAGTTGTTAATATGCCCATAATTAAGCAATGGACGGAGGGCATAGTAACCCATTATTTTGGTGTATTTATATATACATATATTTTTTTTAAACTTAAATAACTCTATATTGATATAATTTATTTGATCCAATAATGACAAGAGTAATGAGGGAATGTTCTTGTCAAAATTCTTATTTGAGTTTTCCTAAATTATTTATTAAGAAACTACAGAACATTTTTGTTTTAATCAAATTTAGGAGACTTAGTACATCCACTACAATAAATATTCCAAATTTTAAAAATATTTTTTAGATGAAGTATTATCTCTTGGTTTAAAAAAGAAAAACATATATTTCAATAAGCAATCTCTTTCAGGTAAGTCAATACTTCACACTATGTATAAGTATGAATTCATAGATCAAAATCAATCGAGATACAGATTTCAGCCCATTATTTTGTTTTAATAATTTTTTCCTTAACAGGTACTCCTCTAATTCACCTTGAAAAAAATATATAAGGGTTTTATTTATTTTTTCACTGTACTTCAGTTTTCAACCTCTAATGGAGAAAATTTATAAATTTGTGATTATAATACCTCACTATTCATTTTGTTGTAAAAATGATTTCATTAATCAATTCTTTTTAAAGTTTTAATGCACAAAATATGTTGAACGGATTTAGTTAGAACCTGGTGTTAATAAATTTGCTCAAGAAAATGATTTTTTTTTCAAAACTAGAATGGTAATTCTTTCGAAAAGTTTACGTCGACTGTTTTGGAAACTAAATGCCTTTTTGATTTTTCAAACAAAAGGATTATGAAATAAAATACAAATAGGCCATTGCTTACAAAAACGTATTTAATCAAATAGAATAATCTTAAGACATCAATGTTTCAAATATTTTTATTATGAATTGTTTGCCTGAATACAATATTATTCCCTCAGCATGCCTATGAATCTGTTTTAGCCATGTTAGTTATTCGGTTAGGATCACTGATGTGTGGAGCACATTCATGCATAATTCCTCACAACCATAATTCCCTAAAGTTGACAACTACCTTTTCCTTATTTAAGTAGCTACTCAGTTTTATTAAATTGAGAACCAGTAAACAGAACAAAATGCACCCATTCTTAAGAGAAAATTAGTTTTAATATGTTTTGGGAAGATTTTCTTTTATTACTCAGTTCAAATATTGAGAATTTTTTTTTTGATTTGGCACATATCCCTTAAAATTGTTTAAATGAAAGTATCTCTACATAATATTTAGCTTCAACATAGCTTTTACAGTATCTTAATAGTTATCAAATAAATAAGAATATTTTGACAGCCACACTGCAAAAGCCTGTAAGTGAAATTTAATTTAGAATGTGCAGTTTTAAGGTTTGCCAGTTAATCTTGGCATAATATTAATAAAAACAAACATTATATCTCTGTCTTAAGCATACAATAAAAATTGAATGGAAAATCTAAGTCATAAAATAAGAAATATGCAATATTTTTCATATTATAAATAATTTTGTTTTGCACTTACAGGTTTTTGCAATGTGGCTGTCAATTTGTTCTTTGTCAATAATATTTGTTACATAAAATTTATTTGAAATAATATTTAACATGACTAGTAAATAATGCCAATTTATAGCAGAGAAAAAAAATTATGGAAAACATATTTTAATTTATGACAAGGGTCGCCAAAGTGGAAGAATCTACCTCTGTGGATAGATATCTCCAGGATAGAGAATGAAAACTAATTTTATTGAAAAAAAAAAATAGTTCAACTAATAAGGTAATTTAATATTATTCTAATGGCTTTTATTTATGTGTTACAATCAGAAAAATACGTTAAATGCATAACTCAGAAGAAATTAATAGTTATACACAATTATAAACCAAAATTTCTAGTCTTACAAGGAATCATTGATGTCAGGAGCAGTGACAGTTAATCGTTACGTCCCACAAGTTACTAAACATCTTTAAAGGCTATTAGAAGCAAATATTTTATATAGTCTTTTTTAAGTTCTTTCAAACCAGAATGAACAGCAATCGTGAAAAATCTAAAAAAAGTTTTAATTTGTAACTGCAGTACTTTTTGGATCTACTTCCTCACATATCACTACTTTTAGAGCAAAATATTCATATGTAACAATTTTTCATTCTTTTTCTATTTATGCTCAATAGAATTGAGCATTTTGTAATTTGGAACTGCTATGAGTAGTCTACTACTATGGAAAATATTATAGGGAAGTCAAATATGAAACTATACTAATAAATCATAAAGAAATAATCAGTTTTTTATGCTCTATTGTAAAAAGAAAATTAATTTTGACATATGACCTTTGGCCCTAACAATAACGTTATATATGTCAATGGATAAAAATTATATTGATTTTTTATTAGTAAAATAAAAAAAGTATTAAAAATACATTTTGATAGAAGTGATAAAAGATTTTGATAATTCTTTGCAGATGGAAAATTGAAATAGTTTGGCGACCCCTGGTCTCTAAGATACACAAAATGAAATATTTTATACAATCTAAAATCAACACACATAACAATAAGATAATAAAAAAACACCATGAACTTTTTAAAAACTCAATATATAAAGACAGAACGGAAGACAGCAATATTTTCGGATTCTATGATGCAAGATAAACTAAGGAAGACAGGTAAAATTAATCTGAAAAAGCCAGAAAAACTAAATGCATTGAAATTCTGAGTAGCTACAAATTTCAATTTGTATCGTTTAGAATTTTTTTGCCTAAACTAAATAAAAAAAGTAAGGGATTATTTTCTAATTAGATAAACCAAAAAAATACTTCATACATTGAAAAGCTAAATATTTGTTTCGTGTAGAAATATAATTTATCAATTTATATTATTTGTACACATAATAAGTTATTATTTATAATAAAGCTACACTTTAAACATGAAAGATTCAGGTATGGTCCAGAGAGAACGAGTAAATGAATAGAGCTAGCTAAGGCAGTGGTAAACAAGGGGTCAGAGCCCCTCAACTCCCCGATCCCCTGGGCCAACGTAATGGGCAGGGTTAATAATAATTATTTATTTATTACAAAAAGAACTCATTTCGGCAGTGAAAAAAATAACAATTTAAAATACCACTTTAATTTACCTTGTAAAAAACTTTATAACTGATTCAAAACAGTTATAAAAAACATGAGAAAAAAAATCTTATGACTTATGTATTGTCTTAATTAATGAACTGCTATCACTAGTCTATTTCAATCATAGCAAAATAATGAAATCTGTTCTTAATGACATTCAAACATATCTAAATGGAAATAGAAATATTCATTTTCTCGGTTACATTAAAGAAGTAATATAATATAAGTTTTTTTTTCAATCTTTGAAATTATTAAAAAAAAAAATCATATCAAACATAATATTTGATGAGTATGAAAAAAATATAATACAACTGCAAATACATGTTAATTCACTAAAACATCACTGCAATGCAAACAATGAACTAGCCTCATACTATACTACATGTATATGTTGAATAAATATTTAACAGACAGTATACATCCATTTATAAGTTTATCACATCAATTTAAAGTGGTTTTAGGCAGTAAACACAAATGAATTAATAACAGCAAAAGAATTACTAATTATTACTACTGTATTCATGGAACTATTAAGGAACATAATAAGATCTTGTACATCATGAGACAAACACTGAATGAATGATTGGTTATAAGATAAATAAAATAGAAAGAAACAACTAAAATGAAAATAATACTTAATTGTATACATACTGATAAATTCCACGTATCTAACACCAATTAATATAATTACATATTTTATCAAGAATAACTTTATTATACTCCTCCTGTATTTCTAATTGAATGGTACACTATCATGCCTTTTTTTTTATTACAGAAAAATGTTTGAATACAATAGATGATCAACAGAAATGTTTTTTAAAGGTTAATTCAATACTCTCATTTAAGTTAAAATAACAAAACATACTAAAAAAAATCATAGAATAACTCTTCACTCAAGATGCAAAATCTTACAACTCATTATTTCAGTTACAATTAATTTGTTGCTAAATAATTGATTCTGTAATGATGACTGTAAGCTAATTATCTACTACAGCTCACGTCATGAAACTAAGTATCAATTTGGTGTGAATATTAATTCAAAACTATTCACAATTGCAATCCAAATTCAGAAAAATAAATTTACTTCATGTTGCTATCTTAAGTGATTATTCGGAAATCTGATTTCAGAATCAAGATCTTTAAGCAAAGAAAATTTTGAAATATCACAATACTCATTCCAAGAATTATATTCATGTAACGTAAAAATAAGATAAAGCTTCATAACTTATGATAATATAATACTTAAATTATATGGCCCTGTATGGCTTAAAAACCTAGGTTAATATATAACTAAATATCAAGATATATTGCTTTATTATAATAAAAATAATTTTATATAAACTAAAAATACCATTAATTAGATCTGGATTGATTTCTACATATTTAAATTATAATAAAAAATGAAATTATATTTCTATAAAAGTAATATTTGGTAACTTAAAATCATTATTTTATAAAATACAAATGAGAGAAGTGTTAATCAATGAGCTCAACAGCAAATAGGTAATTTTTCAAATAAAAGCCAATTCACAAAGCAAGCTCAAAGCATACCTGGCTTGAAATAATCATAAGCAATAATATCAGTTAAAATGGGTACAAATGAAATTCTAATGGTCTTCAGGAAAATGTTGTAGGTTGACTTTCATAATATCAACACCGGTCACGGATTTAACCATTTCAGGTACTTTAGTGACAATACTCAGAACCTCTGATGTTAACTTGGCAGCACCAACTTCTCCATTTCCACTAGCCACCATTGTAATTTTTTTAGCTTGTGACAGAGGTGCGGCAACTTCTGCAGCCATCTATAACAAAAATTAATACTATTAAAAAAAAAAAAAAAAAATATATATATATATATATAAGTCAAGGGATGTGAAACTACAATATTGATTTTTAAAGGGATAATGCAAAGCTAAAAGATTGAAGTAGATACATACATTAAGAAAAATCAAGTAAATTATTCATTAAGTATTAGCTGTGCTTTCAAAGATACCAGCAGTGGAAGTAATTGACCTACAATTAAAAAATATTACCGAATCCTCTCATTTTCAAAGATCTAATTGTAAGTGAGAAATTACAACTAATATATCGGTACCTAGTTTAAACTATCGTATATACCTTTAATAGTATAATATAACATTAAAAGAAATCTGATGCAGTGCGCGCATCATATAACTTTCACTCACCAACCTTAGAGTAGATAAGTATTTTCTTATAGGAAGTTAAAGTGAAAAAGACAGTATAACATCATTTAAAACAACTAATTACAATTTTTTCCAACCCATCACATCAGTAAAATTTTTACATTTGCATCATTTCATTTTACGCTTGTGTATAGTATAAAACAATACTAACGATTATGGAAAAAATGGATCTTTTGGAAAAATTCTGACTTTTATTGGAAACGTTTATCACAAAACTCGTCCAAAAAATAGTTTAATGTTCATAAATATTGCATATTATTAGGTTTATATTAGGTAATCCTCAACATTTCGTGTGAAAACCTTTTTAAAAAATTATGAATAAGTGAAATATAAGTTAAAATAACAATATGGAACACCTGTACAGAGGGGTATCGCGTATATGTAGTGGAAAAGTCTCAGCTAAACAGCCAAGCTTCTTACATAGTAGAATTATCTACTGTATAGTTTCCTACCTTATTTCCCCTTTAGTTAACAATACATTTTCTTCATTCACTATATTTAACCATTTTTTTTATTTTTTTTTATTGCATGTTCAAATTTGAAATGGTTAGTTATTTTAAATTTTAAAAATTGGTACTTTAGAGAACGAAATTTTGAAAATTAGCCATTTAACTTTCGTTTTTTGAGCTAGACTGTTAACAGACACACAGACCATTTTGCTGGACTTGGTTATTTGGACTCAGAGAACCTCAAAACATATGTTAATGTTGAAAACTCAGATTCAAAAATTTTCAAGATCGCTATACCCTTACTGTATATTACATATATTGGTTAGTGAAAGTAAAAATAATATATGTGCCATGTAAGGCAATGAAGTGCTGAAGGATCGTTCTCTGTTATTCCACTAATGTCAGGTACTTGTGAATCCCAAGTACAAGACAATAGTTTGTTGAAGTTAGAATTGATGATATTGTTGAAACATGAAGTTGTTTGAAATTTGAAACCTGTGTTGGAAAAATAGAAGAAAAAACTACTGAAGTATAAAATATATTTACATTACTATATTATTAAAAGAAAGAATTTATCTTAAAACACATGGCAATAACCATCCTCAAGTTGCAAGATTTGTAATTCAATTCTTAGAGAAATGTAATTCAAGTCAGGTCCCTATACGATCCCTCAGCATCAATTCTAATGATGATTTGTAAGATCTTCAGGTAGTCAAGGGAAAAAATAAATTTTCCAACAGAAAAACTTTCTGGAACATTAATTATACACAATGATATTGTTTAAGTTTAAACTTCTATTAGCCCCAATTACAACTAATCACTACTAATTTATTTTGTAATAATGAAATTAATTTATTACTTTTTATCATTGGTTCATATCATAAAAGCATTATTCCGAATCTGATCAATGTCTACCTTTACTTAAACATTATTAACTTTTATGTGTTCTAACTGATTAAACTACAACTATTATAGTTATAGATTTTTAAAATTTATATAACAGACAAAAAAGAAAAAATTATTTTAATGGAAATACCAGATAAAATATCAGCCAACCTCATTTATCTCAAAATTTACTATGTAATCGATTTATTTAAACTTTTTTTCAGGTATAAAAATCACAAATTATATCAAAATGTTACATTTTCATGTATCTTGAAATTATAACTTTGTTTTATTGTTGTCAGATTTTAAATTATAAAACCAGGCAATAATAAATTATGGATCTCAAAAACTTGAAATTCAAGAAAATATAAGCATAAAATAATTCAAGTAGATAAAAGAAAAAATATCTGGACACTAAGTCAAAAGAACAATCAGGCAGTGCAGAGAGAAAATGAAGGAGTTAAAAAAAAAAAAAAAGGGACTTGAGTTTTGGCTATTAGCTTGGCTGGTCACAATCCTCAAACACTAGACTCAGGCTTTTTATAAAAAATTTATGAACCAATTTTTAAAAAATTTGAATATCAATGAAAATAAAGAAGGAAGGACACAGACGAACTAACTGCCAGCTATTCAGAAATCAAGAAATCCTACTTCCTTGATCCCCCCTATATACACAACAAAAAATAAATTTTATATTGTAAGCTGAACATGAATGAATGTATGTCTGAGGAGTATGACCAAATGGAAGGGAATGAGTAAGAACAATTGAAATTATAGCATAAACAAAGGTTGGATAACATGTCACAAAATTAGAGGTATGAACAGGGTGTCTACTAGTGTCTTTCATTCCACTCCAGATTCCCTGAAATTTCCCTACCTTTATTAAAATGTTCTGCCCCATCCCGAAACAAGGAGGTGAAAAAAAGAGGTGAAATGCAATAATTTTTTTTTCTCACAATATTCAAAAATAATTATTAATAGATCAACTATCACAAAAACTGTATAATAAAAATTATAACTCAAACCAAACTCGAGTCTGACCCAAAGATTAGAACATTAATACAAAAAAACATCAATTTTTATAAATACACACACACTCCTTGACAAGTCTTCGCCAGATAGGTCTATTTTAATATTTAAATCGAGTTTGTAATATTTTGAGGTCTATTTTAAGCCACCACTCGCCAGTTGTAGATGATGATGGCAACAGTGTTCTTCCATCCAGCAGTTTTCTGGACATTTACAATGTGGCCAGCCTACAGCTGTTTTGCCAGCCTAACAAACCTCATTTGACAGCCTCGTTATAAAGTTGGTAAATTTCCCTATTCGTCCTCCACCTCCATTCCTCTCTAAACCTTCCCAGTCCAAATATTCATGCAAGGATCTTTCCTTTGGATATAAGAATTTCCCTAACCTCATTACTTGTGAGAGTCCAGGTCTCTGATACATAAGTTAAGACAGGTCTAATAAGAATTTTGTATAAGAGGCATTTAAAAAGGTGGGAGAGGTAGGACTTCTTAGGTACTTTCTGATACCAAAATAGCACCTGTTGCCTTTGATTTGATGAGCCGCTGGGTGGTTTCTATGGAGATCTTGTTTCCACAACTCACTAATGACCCCAGGTACACAAACTGGTCGAGGTTTTGGAACACAAATTGGCCCATCATCACAGGCTCTCGATCCGCTGTCGCAGGCCCAGCCCTCATTTACTTTGTCATCTCCTGATTTACACACATCCCCATATTCTCTGCCAACTTGACTCAAAGGACCTTGCGATAATATCTAAGACATCAGTGAAGCTGAGTACCTAACGAGCCAGTTGAAGATGTTATCAGGTCTGTATGCCCGAATCATGTAGGACCTTCTCCAAGGCTAGGATGAGCAACAGGCAGGTGAGGCCATCGTCCTGTCTGACACCTTTGATAGATAAAATCTGTGTAGAGTCTGACTGAGTCCTCACAGTACACGTTACACAGTCTGTGGTCATCTTGATCAGGCGAACCAATTTCAAAGGGACTCCAAATTCTTTTAAAGCTGTGTACAACTTTTAATGCTATTATAGGCACTCCTAAAGTCAACAAAGAGGTGGTGAGTAGATATCCGATACTCCCGGGACTGCTAAAGTGTCATCCGGAGACTGAACATTTGATCTCCCACTTCTAAAACCCACCTGATATTTTCCTATTTCTCTCTGCAAATGGTAGAAGTTTCTTATAAGTGAGGGAGGGGTGGCCGAGCGTGATAACGTGTGTGTGGAGCACCGCGCGTTGCCCGGCAACTTGATAACTGAAGTTAGAAATTGAAAATAATTATGAGTTCAAATCCCGGCGGGAGTTTTAACTCGGCATAAATCCCCCGCCCTAAAATAAACCCAGTGTAACCTAAAAGGCAAGGAAGGGGAGAAAAAAATGTTTTTTCTTATAAATGACGTTAGATAGAACCTTGTAGGTACACTGTAGAAGAGAAATATGCCAATAGTTGGAGCATTCCAGGATGTTGCCTTACTTGTGAAGTGGATAAATGATGCCTCTCTTCCACTGTTCTGGCATTTGCTCCTCTATCTAGACTGTGAGGGTGACTTTGTTGAGGGCTATCAAGAACTCCTCACTACTATACTTCACCTGGAGTTTTGTTGTTAAGCCTATTCAAAGCATCCTTCATATCATCATAAGTAGGTGGATTGGGAATTTCTGTGTCTTCATCACTCTCAGGTATCTTCCACTCTTCTAAGCCTCCCATGATGTCACCCAGCAGACTGTCAAAGTGATGGGACTACCGTGCCAGTATTCCATCCTTTTCCATGGTCATGGATATATGCCCTGACACGTTTGAAGCCGGTCCTACTCTGGTTGATCCTCTCATAAAAAATTCTTGACTACCTTTGATTACTGTATTCCTCCATTTCCTCAAGCTGCTTCCGTTCCCAATCCCTCTTCTTTCTATTGTGAAGAATATTCTTTTTGTAGTCAGAAGACACTGCAGTGGGAGCATAAAAACTTAAGATAGAGTAGTTTTGGAATTTATACCTCAATCTAATGACACAGATAAAAAAAAAATGATGTCCAGCACTAACTCTTAACTTACTGTGAGGATGTGGGGGAAGAGAGGAATGATATTTAGTAACTTATTACTTTATTTTGGCAATAATTTATCAGAAAATTATCTGACTTTCTGATGGGTTAGAAAAATGCCTGATTATTCCAGAATAATGAAATTCTGATCTTTCCTGTGGGTAGACACCCTGTATCTACATAACCTAGATTTAGTCATGCCAAAGTTATAGTGATACTTATTTATACAAATAAAATGTTATCTATGAAAAATTAAAATAAAATAAAAAATACATATAAAATACAACAAGAAATGCTTTAAGCCAGAAAAGCAACACAAGGAATGAGTTTAAAGCATAAATTAAGAAAATTAAAAGAAGGTTATAAAAAACTTATAATAATAGGCTATACCTACGGTTTAAATGTTGCAATCCACCAACATCCACCTGCAAATCAATAACTTCCCTAAGGTGCTAACAGTTCATAATTTTGATCAATAAATTTCCTATTAAATTAAGTAAAACACATTTAAAAAAAAAAGAATTTTTGTTTTAAAAAAAAATTCTCATCACACGGAAAATGAAAGCAATCTTTACAAAAAGAAAAACTTGGCACAAACCTGAATCAGAAGAAATAAGATAAACATTTAAAAAATAATAATAATAATAAAATAAATAACAAGGGCTAGATCAAACAAATACATCTCTGTATGTCAAAACACATGGTAAAATAATTAAAATAGTAGATGTGGCAAGAATGAAAGGTTGAAAAGGCATATCTTATCAATTTATAAGTTATTTTATCTTCTTCTTTCGCTTCTTCGTTTTGTGCCTCTCAGCTTAGGGGAGTGCACAGCAAACAAATTCCATTCCTCTCTCTTCCTTGGTAGATTCCTGGCCTGGCAGAGATCTTTGCTTTTTCCTCTGCAAAGTCTATCTATATAGTCCAAATATAACATTCTCGGACATCCTCGAGGTCCTCTGCCAATCGAAATTCTTTCTTTCTACATATATATGATCTTGTTTTTTCTGATGATGCCTGAATTGGGAAAACATTGGTACGTTTACTGTTTACTTGTTTGTTGGAGACTCGTGGCATCATAATTTGGATTGTTCCAATAATAAAGACATATAGTCCATTGTCTTTAATGTGCTCGTAAGTTCCTCTATTCTAACGAAATGGCCGAACCATTTCAATTGGCGGGTTTGAAAAACCTCCCATGTTTTTTTCTTTTATGGTAAAAAGCACCATGGCCAAGAAGGCTTATTGTATACCCAACTTAGTGTCGCTTTTATTCAGAGCATTATTCCAGTAGTCTCTACAAACTGAACTAGGCTTGTTGGATTGACAAGCTCTTTAGTCTTGGGGTCAGAAACCATATCATCCCCAAATAAGCAGAATCTTGACTCGGCAAACCTGCTGCAGCAACAAGTGATATGATACACTGTTTCATCCTCCTGACCACAGAATCTACAAAGAGACGACTCCATTAGCCGGAGTTTGAACATATGATAATTCAGTTTATAGTGACCAGTATGTATTGCTATAATTTTCTTGAAAGAGCTCCTGCTCAAGTTAATTAGTAGATTACTTCTCTTTGCACAGATTTGATTCAGGAACAATCTTGAGTGAGTCTATTTTTTTTTCAAGCACCAGTATTTCTTAGCTTTAGCACCATGTATCTGTCCGATTTTGCTATTGATTAGAAGCATGCTATGCCGCAGATAGGTTTGGGTGTTATGGGAGTTGTTTGTGAACCTTTTCTAGCTAATTCATCTGCCATTTCACTTCTCTGAGTCTTTAACAGCCTTAAATATAGTTGTATAGTTGCCCAGCGCTCATATTGCTCCTTGACTGTCAGTATAAATGGAGATCTTCCTCCCCACCAACCCACAGAACAATTTCGAGGATAGTGAGATATCACCAGTATTTCGGATTGGAATACCGTTGCATATTTGCCAAATAATATAGACATGCCATCCTCTGGTTCGTCCTTTCTCCAAAAATTTTGGGCCAGGTTCGGTTAGATTTTTTAAGAAAAACGAGAATAAGCTGTTCACTAGCTGCAGGAAATAGTGACAGACTATAAAAAAAGAGAACAAAAATATTTTGTCCTTTTGAATTAAAATTAAATTTTAATTTTTTTCCAGGCACAAGGAACGTAAAAGAAAACCTACAAACACAATTGCGTGACCCAAGAAATGGAAAAACTTTAAATTTATTCTTTTGGGACATGGCAATTCATTAGTGTCTACCTAGCATTCTTTTTAGTTTTTTTGTACACCATCTTTCCCTTAAAAAAATATTGAAGTAAAACATTTTCTTTTATAATGATATTAGATCCCGATGTGTCTCATCAATTTTAAAAAGAACTGGATATGGCACTGTGTGCAATGGAAATGTGATTTCTCAGCTCCCTTCCCCCACCATCTAAGGACAAACCAGACAGCTTTACATAAGCAGTCTCCCTTATTTCTGTACTCTTTATTATTTTGAGTTCTTAATTTTTTTCTGATAATTAAATATTTTGAAAGGATCAATAAGTATAAGTTATTATTTGATTTATAGATCACTTAAGATGGGAACAGAAAAAAAAATGTAATTTGCTTTAAACAATGATTAATTCAACAGGGACAAAGATATTTCATTATTTTTTATAAAATGAAAAACTAAATTTAGAAGAGGTGTAGGCTAAGCTGACATATCAGCACTTAAAGAAAGTTTAGTAATATTACTTTAGTTAACGAACGATTACAGAGAGAAAGGGAAGAAACACAATTTTGACTTTGGGATTCTGTTTAGATTAGTTATTAGAAAGTAAACATATTTAAAAACCCTCATTATTAGAAGAGGATCGAGATATAGAGAGGCAATCAGAAGGTTATTTTTTCAGCTTTTCACTAATATGGAAACTTCATGATAAGGACATTATAAATTAAATCAAAACTGACAAGATTTTTCCACTCATTTTTCCCTAGTAAGAAAATTTTTCAAGATATTCACCCTCATAGTTCACCAATTTTGAAAAAAAAAAAAATAAAAATAAAATGACTTTTATTTTTACCTGTTTTTGGCTAGCTAACTCATTTATTTCTTGGTAAATTAATCAATTAAAAGTAAATTTGACATATATTCTAACTCTACTCCAAAGACCACTGCATACAGTTGGCTAATTGGTTTCAAATATACAATGGTACAAATGATCAAATTTTGAATGTATTAGCAATACCTATTTTTTTCGGGTTTTAAGACTGGTCAAAGTAAGTCCTTTTTTGATTTTGAACAACACCAAGAAAACCGATCTCTAATAAATAAAAAATAAACTCCCTGTAAATTATCATTCCTATATGTTATACAAAGAAATAAAGATTATAGTTCTCACTTTTGGGAGTGTATCAAGAAGCATATCGACAATGGCAGCTTGCCTATATTCTCTAAAAGCTTCGGCTTTCTTTGACATTTGTTCTGCTTCTGCTTTGGCTTTGGCTTGAATAGTAGCAGCTTCGGCTTCACCTCTCAATCTTATAGCTTCTGCTTCTGCTTCAGCTTCCATGATTAACCTTATCCTATTAGCTTCAGCTAGTTTTTCCAATCTGAAATATAAAGAATGTTCAATAAAAATTTAGTTTTTAAAAATATTTAATTTATTTATTACATATATTAGTATCAATGCTAATGATCACTGAGACACATTTGATGGCACTAAGGTATTACAATAAGATCCAAAAAGTTTTCAAATTTAATTTGACTTGGTGTCATTGTTATTTCACAGTTTTATTAATAAATTCTCCATTGTTGAAACATGTAAGTGATTAGTAAAAATAATAACAATTAAAAAAATAAATAGAATCAATGAAAAAAGTGGAAGTGTAAAACATTCTTAAAAACGCTGCAAATTATTTCACAATGGTTTATTATAAATCTAAAGTAACATTACCTTCCTAGTTACAAAGAAAAATAAACAAAGGTGATTCCAATTATTGGACTAAACTTTTTCCATCCATTTTACGAGTGAAAACATATCTATTAAGTATATATAACTACTATTAGTACAAAACGTTGTACGTTCTATTTGAGCTTATTCTATTTGAGCTTAAGGTGACATTTTGTAGTCTGCAACTGATTTAAATAGTCTGCTACTTATATACCAAGTAGTTTGCTACTACTATGGAAAATAGCAGATGACAATAAAATATGAAATTATACTAATAAAGCATAAATAACCAATGAGTTTTTATGCTATCTTGTAAAACAATTAATTTTTACATACAACCTTCTGCACTAACAGTAGTGAAATGCTTGTTCAGTATGCATTGCGAATTTTTTTTTTTTTAATTAAGAATAATCAAATATGGAATCTTCAAAGATAGCACTCTTTCGCATTTTAATATTAGCTGATAAACGAAATTTGTGGACATAAAAACCGCGAATGTTGAAGGGTAACTGTATTTCCAAATCGGCTTCTACCAGAGATTTTATTCTCATACGAGAAATTGTATAACTTATAATATAGATATATTTTAGCCAAGGAAAACAGCAATTTTAGCCATTGTCTACAAGCCTCCCAGGCTCCTTACTCTCTTTTTTCCAACTTCCCAAAAATCCTTAATTAGGGCTACTAAGCAGAATTGAGATTTAACAAAAAATAAAATAACATTGTCAATAAAAACCTCTCAATCAGGTGTGAATTTTCCAACTTCCCAAATATCCTTAATTAGGGCTGCTAAACAGAATTGAGATTTAACAAAAAATAAAATAACATTGTCAATAAAAGCCTCCCAATTAGGTTTGAATTTCATGTAGATATTTAATTAATATGGTGTAATTATGTTATTAAATCCATCTAGAAGAATTTGTAAATAAAAGGAAAGAACAATAATCACTTATTTCCAAGTTATATGGTTACAACAAATCATATAGTATTAAGAAAAGTTATGAAATACAATAGAAAATTCAAACTAAAAAATGATTATAGACATAGAATTTTAAGATAGAAGAAAATTTTAAATTATCACAATGAATAAATAATGCTTAATTAAGATTCTTTTTTGGAACTCAATGTTCAATCGGACCTGTATTTCTCAGCTTCTGCAGGTCGCCTTATAGTTGCTATTAATTCTTTTTCTTTTCTTTGCATTTCTTGCTCCTGTACAGCTATTTCTTGTTTTCTTTCAACAACTTTAATTTGCATTTGTTCCTCTTTTATCCTCTGTCTTGTTTTAGCTGCCTGAAGTTCATAAGCCATTTCAGCTTCAGCTTTCTGAAAACACAAAATATGCATAAATAGACATATGTAGGTATCATTTTCACTTCTAATTATAACAGAAAGTCTACCATTATCTGCAGGTTGATTATCAATGATTGGCCTGTGGCAAGATTTGAAATAATTGCATATAGAAATAGTGAAACAAATAAAACCATGCACAAGGATAGTATGTCTCTGAGTGCACCAGACTGGAAATGTTTACCAACTAGTTTAGTTGCTTATAAATCTGAATGAAAGAAAATCCAGAAAAGACAGAATAACCTTTTTGAGTTGTAGCAAACGTGTCAGTTCATCACAAGCTGTAAAAGAACCTTATAAAAGAGAAAGAACCTTATTCATTGATAGGGCAAGAGCAGAAAATACCCTCTATATTATTAAAAATAAACAAAACTACTTTTATTTATCAGCTACAGGAGTATTTATGCTCGAAAACATAGCCAGTAAAGGCTATGCTGCTCATTGGTCATACTACATATCACCTTGTTAAAGTTTATAAATTAGCAGATGAATAAATGATGAAAATGGAGAAGGACGATAGCCTAAGCGAAACTGGTAGGAGGGCGTAAAGGAAGGAATGATGAACAGGAGCATGCGTGAAGAAGACGGGCAGGACAGAAGAAGATGGCAAAAATTTATATTTGGTGACGACATATGACGAATTTTATAAAAGTCGTGAAATAAAAAAATTCACTTTTTACTGCCAAATATAACTGCTCTCAAGTGAAACAAAAGCAATAAAGTAGGTTTACAGACCTAATTTGAAAGACAGAGAAAGATTGAGGTGGAAGTGAATTTTGGAATGATTTTACAATTTCTGAGTATTAATGAAACATCAGCTGGATGCAATTCAATAAAAACACCTGCACCCTTGACGTCATGAGAAAAATAATTTAAACTAAACTGAACCAACAATATAAGATTGCGAAGAACAAGAACTTCTAGACTACTTAAATTGGTAAGAACTGTTTCTGGAGGAAAAAACATTAATGATCATCAAATTAAGAGGCACTAAAGCAGCTGATAATAAACCTGGAGAAGGGAATGATTCACTGCACTGAAACATGCCAGTCACTGGTCACTATTATTTAAAGCAAGGCAATGACATGACACTGGCTAACATACTTGTATTTGTATTTCACAAAAGTCAGTTAAAGAATATAAAGAGCTTTTTTTTTTTAACCAAAAAACAAGTGATTAATTTATTTTTTCAAAAAATGTTTTTTAAATCAATGTATAACTTCTGGCAAAATATGATTTTGTTTAAAATCTTAAGGCCATAAAAAATGTGAAATGGTTATTTCAAATACAAAAATTAAAGGTACTTCAGAGGAAAATTAAGAGGAAGAAATATTGAAAATTATTTAAGCCCTATTAGAGAACATCATTGTGAATAAAACCTACATTATATTAAAAACTGCTCAACTTTTCACGGATATAATGAATTTAATCAAAATCTTCAAGAGCCGTTTTCGAGAAAATCGTAAAAATGTGTAAATCGATGATATAAAGTGCCACTTCCAGGCAAATACAAACCTTAAATATGCAATTTCACTTTCGCAGGACACACACACACACACACAGACCATTTTGTGGGGCTTTGTTATTTGGACTCAGTAGACCTCAAAATATGTATTTCCGATGAAAACTGAGATTTGAAAATTTTCACGATCGCAATACTTTCGTTTATTATACAGGGTTTCACATAAGTAGAAGGAAATATTTAAGGATAAAGGATAAATAAATAAATAAAAATAAAAAAAATTCCATTTTTTTTTTTTTAAATTCCTGTACTTTTCCCGTACAATTCCTGGCTTGAGAAATTCTTGTACGATTCCCGGTTTTCCAGATTGCTGGACATCCTGTTTTTATTCTTAGGTTTTGATTAGAAAATATTGCATTTTTACATTTGAATATTTTACTATAATCCACACACGTATTATGAAATAGTTTTTTAAACAATGCCATTGCCTTGATTAGGTGGATTTTATGTACTTTATTTTCAAACTTAAAAAAAGTTTACATTTAGTTAGTAAATTTCATTTAATTTCCTTGAAAACATATGATTTCTGTTAAATAATATTAGCTTTCACAAATTATTATTTATAATTTTTCATCACTCTCTATTATAGTCTGTGGTACAAACCCATTTTTATCAAATTATTAACATCCGGTTGAAACTTCTTAAATAGCTTCATCTCATTGTAACCAACAAATATTTTATTTACGAAAATTCTCAGGATTAGGGCGTTTTCAATCTGATGTCGGCAAACTTTGTCTATTTAATAAGGCACTAAAATCTCGTAAATACCTATTTGCTTTCTACTTGGATGATGAGACAATTAGATCAGAAAACCGATAAAAAAGGTGGCCTACAAAAATATTGAACCGTTTGGCCCATATAATCTCGTTATTTTGACAATTTGGGGGGAGGGGGGGGTAGGTAACGCCAAACGGCTCAATATTTTTGAAGGCCATCTTTTCCCCTAATTTTGTGCTCAAGTTATCTTATGATTCAAGAGAAAAGCAAATGGGTATTTATGAGTTTTTAGTACCTAATTAAATAGACAAAGTTTGCCGACCTACAGATTGAAAACGGCCCAATTATGAGAATTTTCATAAATAAAATATTTCTAGGTTACGATAAGATGAAGCTATTTACGAAATTTTCAGCCGGATGTTAATAATTTGATAAAAAGGTGTCTGTACCACGGACTACTACTTTCTACGACTTACTATATTATATATAGTTTTTCTAGAATTCTCCGCTTTCCAACGATATATTATAAGTAGACTTCTACTTCTGACTAGAATTTCTGGTACTTCATTTTCGACCTAAATAAACATTTTCCTTTTTTCTCCGTATTTCAATTATCAAATTCTTTCAAAAGTTATATTTAGCATTTTTATGAAACTCTTAATAATGAGAGATAGTTAATTATTAAAAATAATTAATTAAAGGTACTTTAGAGGAAGACATGTTGAACATTTAAGCCCTGTAAAGTGGCACCAATGGGGATAAGACCTCTATGATATTAAAAACCACTTAATTATACAATGATACACCGAGTTTAATCACAATTGTTGGAGCCGTTTTTGAAAAAAATTGTAAAAATGTGTATAACCGTTGATATAAAGTGACACTTCCTCTTCGTCGATTTTAACGAAAAAGTTGCTGTCACATCCAAGGCATATACCTATTTTAAATACATAATATCAGTATTGTACAACTTTTCGTTTTCGAGTTTGATTGATCACATACATACACACACACACACAGACCATTTCGCAGGACTTGGTTATTTTGATTCTGAAGACCTCAAAACATATATTTCTGTTGAAAACTTAGATTTGAAAATTTCCACAATCGCAATACTTTCCCTTACTATATATTACATATATAGATAAGTGAAAGTAAAAATTGGCTTAAGTGTGTCCATAACTGGTTATTTATCCTGCTTCTTGTACATAAATATTATTTTATATATTATATATGCAACAACCACCACTGCAATATGCAAAAACAAAAATATATCTATGGCAGTAATTGTTACATGTTTAACAAGTTTTAATTGAATTAAAATTTGTTCTTAAGTTATTAAATTATCAGAGAAGTCTAACCTTAGTTTGCACTTCAACATCATAGGCAGCCTTTTTTAACTCGAAATCTCGCTGTGCTTTGGCAATTTCAGTATCATTGATGAACCTAAAAAAGACAAATGTTCACATAATTAGTAGTCTGGAATAATAATGTTAAAAATAGGAAAAGTATAAGTTGAATATCACTATGTAACTTTACAGTTAAAAAATACTTCAACACAAAAGGTCAGTAAAAAAGTTCTATTATTTATTTGAAAACATCTTTAAAATTGATGAGGGATAAAGGGAAGTAATCATGAACTCGTAAGCAACAGTTTTGGCAATTTTAAACCGAGGTGTGTTGATATCTTATTATGAAAATGAACAATAATTTCATATAAATTTTGTCGGACTCTACTGTGATATAAATATATATATATATATATATATGCATATATTAAAAATAAACAGTGCAATAATTTCTTTCCTTCAACTCAGGAAAATTTGTAATCCAATTTTTAAAATGAAATGTATTATAAAAAATAAATAATCATTGAAGTTAACAAGTAGTTGAGGAAGCATATATTATTGGCACAGACCAACATTCTTTTAAATATCAAGTTATATATGAACTATTGCTATCAATTAATTAACTCAATGAATTAATATTTTTTGAGAAAAAAATTTTAAACTTTCTTTGGAATACAAATAAATTTTGTTATAATTATGAAAGACTATTGGTTTTTGAACATTATCACTGTCAAAGATTTTTTTTTTTACAGATTAGCACAATGATTGCCCATTTCATTGTGACTTATATATTTTAAAATAAATGTCATGAGACCTTTTAACTCATAAACTCATACTTTGCAGCCATCCTTTGTTCCTCAGCAATGGCTTCCTTGATTGTTGCTTCTGCCCTTGCTTCTGCCTCACCCATCCTAGCATCTCTTTTCACCTCTGCTGTACGAGCCATACCCAAACTTTTCAAATAACCCTGTTCATGGAAACAAGAAGAATTCAATAAGAAGCCACAAATATAAAATACTAATTGTTTATAATAATAATAATAAATTTTATGATTATCTTGAATTAAAACAAATTGAAAAACTTACAAAAAAAGTGTTATAAGGAAAAGAGACATGCCTCATAGAAAGCACCTATGGATTTCCATGCCTCTTTTATTCTACAAATCAGAATGCAGCTATCTTCTAAAGAAATTTAAAATTAATTTTTATTCTTGATGAATGTCAGCTGTTATTATCATTGTATAAGAGTAAAGGCTCATTCCATATCAAATCAAATCACCCTATAAAAAACAAACTTGGAACCTTCATGTTTCCAATTTAAATGATTTTTGGTATTTTAGATGCTCTAATCACATCACAACTTGCTATGAAATAATTGGCTTCATATTATTCAATAAATGTTTAATTATAAAACACTAGTTGAATATATATACAACATTTTTTTAATTTTCATTTATTCATGAAATTTACAACTATATAAATTAAATATACATCTAGTAAATGTGTAAAAAGAAATACAATAGCATGAAAAGAATTTTAGAGAATCTAACCATCGGTAGCACTCCAATAAAGTATCTAAATTAGGAGATCATGAGGCCATCTTCTTTTCAGACGCCTCAGAGGATTATCAAGGATCAAAGAGGAAGCAAGGTAAGAAACGAGAGGATTAGGATGGTTCTGAAGTTTGTGATGGAATGATAGGTATCTGGATTGAGCCAAATCGAAAACATATGGAACATTAAGGTCTTTATGAATGATTTTATTTGTGACAAAGTAAGGAGCGTTGAGGATTTTACGAAGGATTTTGGATAGTGAGGATTGGATAGGAGAGGAATTCGATGGGTTAGTGGAGCCCCAAAGCTCAATTCCTTAAGTCCAAATAGGTCTTATTATTGTCATATATATAAGTTGTTTGTAATTGATTGAAAGCTTAGAGCGTTTGTCTAGTAAGTGCTGCAGTAGTCGAAAACGTCGGACGGTTTCTAGTCGTTTCAATCTGGTATGGGGGTTCCATGTGAGTCGTTTGTCAAGGTGGAGTCCTAAGTATCGGATTTGTTCGACAGGGATAAGAGGGCTATTGTGGGTATTTGGATTGAGCCAAATCGAAAACATATGGAATATTAAGATCGTTATGGATGATTTTATTTGTGACAAAGTTTAGCCAAATCGAAAACATATGGGATATTAAAAGATCGTTATAGATGATTTTATTTGTGACAAAGCATTGAGGATTTTATGTAGGATTTTGGATTGCAAGAATTCGATGGCTTGGATTGCAAGATTTCTGGTGGAGCCTCAAAGCTCAACTCCATATATCCAAACAGGCTTTATTATAGTCATTTATAGTTAATTGGGGGCACTTAGTTTGTCTAGTAAGTGCTGAAGTAATCGGAAACATCGATCGGTATCTTGTCTTTTAAGTCTAGTATGAGGATTACAAGTTAGGCGTTTGCTCAGGTGCAGTCCTAGGTATCGGATTTATTCAACAAGGATAAGCGGAGTATTATTAAAGGATACTGTAGGACAGGAAGTCATAGGTTTACGACGAAGGGTAAAGGTAATTTGGTGGGATTTATTAAAATTTATTTTGATTTGTCAGTTATAAAACCATTCTTCAAGATTTGTGATGTTACATTGAAGAGTTTAGGATGCAATTGATGGGTCGTTATGATTTGTCAGTAGTTATAAAATTTTCTGTCAAGTTAAATAAATTTTGTATTTTTGAATTTCTGCTTCTAGTTGGTTAATTAACTTGTAATAAGTTTTATCTGGGTATCTAGTCCTGTGCTACTTCGATCTTCCTCAGAGTTTTTCCCTTAATAAGAGACGAATCTGCTGTGGCAAGTTTGTCTGTTGGGAGTTGTTAACTTTGTTGATAGATGTGTTGTCTGGAACTTTGGTTAGGATAATATGAATTAAACTAGGGTAATACGAAATACATGGTCTCATTTGGTCGTGTTTTTTAACTAAGTGTGCAAGTGGGTGCACTGATATAATCGAATGAGTTTTTATTTTTTGATATACATATATATTGTTGACTAGTGAATATTGTTTTAAAGGTTATTATGGTTTTATAAATAGGCTAATGTGTAATAGTAAATTCTCTGTAAGATTTTTGTATATGTTTTTATCAGATGAAAATTTAAATTACATTAAATTTACGTAAGTTCAGATTATCCCTGAAGATGAGAAAATTTGAAATAAAGTAATTATTTATCGAGATTGAAAAGGCCTTTTTCTACTGATACTTATTAACTTATTATTATAGTATCTTTCCCAAGATCATCTTAAAAAAAAAAAACTACTATAAAAATGTCTAATGTGTTTAGTGGATGTAACTAATGTAGAAAAAAATCATGTAAATCGGAAAGACGCAAGTGATTTCATATGGATTGTATAAGGGAAGATGAAATGATAATTTTAATTTTTTTAGTTTCTAATCGACCTTGTGGGTCAATTGCCCATTTTCGTAGTTTAATGATAAATGAAACATATCGTGAAGCATTCATAAATATTTTTTCATAAATATCGGGTGCGTACCCGAAACATTACTTCAGTAAAAGTAGCCGTCAGAGGTTGGCAAAGAGGACCACATAGGCCCAATTGCCAGACTAGTTTCCCCCACCAGTACTAGTACTAGTACCAGTAACCCAAAACATTGAGAAAAAATAAAAATTAGTAAGGTCATTATTTCATTTTCATATACTATACATTAAAATTACTATTTAAAAAAAAAGAACTCTTTTAATTAATTAAAATATATTATGAAATAGGAATGAAAAAGTTTTAGAAATACAATAAATCCTATCATCCCACATCAATTTGTTTAACCTTTTCAATTTTCTGCCACAAAGATCCATCCATCAAGTTATCAGAGCTATTAAGTTTCACTTTCTTGAAAAATAATAATTTATTATGACAGATATTTTTATTAATAATGAAAATTATTTTTAAATTAACACTAAATTTATTATGTCTTTTAAGGCCTTTAACTGTTTGAATTAAGTAAATTTAAACTTAACTACTTAAAATTAGTATGAAACAAAACATTTTTGAATTTTTAATGACAAAAATGAAAAAAATATTTTATGGCTTTTAATTCAAATATAACTCCAAATCAGAAGACGTATAAAAGATCTGTATCAAAAGAAAATTATAATTTAAATCTTTCATTAATTGTGAAAATTTGACAGAAATGAAATAGTATTTTGTAGTATTAAGGAAGTAAAAACAATTACTTAATTTATTTTTAATACAAAATAAAATAATATGTTTGTGTATATCTTAAGAAGTTTATAATATCAAATAAATTTATATAATTAATTGTAACATACTTATAATGGCGATATCGCTGGTAATATTTATATAGAAAGTAACATGTTTGAACAGGTAGAGAAGTTTAAGTATCTAGGATCTACGATAACTAGATAAAACGAAGTTGAAGAGGAAATTAAGGTTAGGCTGAAGGCGGGAAATGCTTGTTATTTTTCTGTGACAAAACTACTTAGCTCACTCATCTTGTCACGGAATTTAAAGACTAGAATCTATAAAACCATTATCCTACCTACAGTTCTTTATGGGTGCATGGTCGCTTACATTAAGGGATGAGCAACGTCTTAAGGTTTTTGAAAATAAAGTAATGCGTAGAATATTCGGACCGAAGAAAGATGAGTTAACCGTGGAGTTCAGAAGGTTGCACAACACCGAGTTATGTGAACTGTATCCATTTAATATAATTGAGCTGATTACATCGCGGAGAATCAAATGGGCTTGTAAAATAGTTGGGCTTAGTAATGAAAGAATTCCTAAAAGGTTGATATTTGCTGTACCGAATGGTAAATGTCCGAGAGGTAGACCGAAGCGAAGGTGGGAAGATTGGGTTAAAGCCGATCTGAAGGAACTGGGTTTGGACGGCGAATGGTGGAGGGAGGTGTGTAATGAGCGATTGGTGGTGTTGGTATCGAACCTCCGGGGGGTTTGCTAAGCCTTTTATTATTATTATCATACATTATTTTCTTAGACTATTCATGGCCAAAAAAGAGTTAACTGTTCACCAATTATATCAGGCTTGATTGAGAAAAACAACATGGTGGTCTTGATAACAATGGTTTGAATTATAAAAATATACCAAATATTTCGTATGACAATCTTCTTTATTCAAAAGGGAATTAAGTTAGATTGTCTATTTAATTACGGAGTTTAAAAACATTTCTATATTTTTCAATTTTCAAATTAGTAACTCAAAAAATAATAAACTTTAGTTTATATAGTATAAAAAGTTTAGTACTAGTGTTTTCTAGTATTAAACTACAGCACAAGCTCAACTTTGATTATAATGAAATGCTGGATAATACTGCATAGAAGGATAATAATAGAAGAATATTGGAATTAATTTATTTCAACAAAAAAATTAGTAAAATAAATTTATACAACAATGAACATTGCTTGCATGAAAGATAATGTTTAACTCCTACATTAGATAGACATAACTTAACAAAAATGTATTAATAGCTTATTCAAGTGTTTGATAAAAAGTAATTAGAAAGGATAGTGGACAATATAAAGAATAATTTAACTGTACAAAGTTCAAATACGATAATTTTGATACATGACTTGACCTGTTGTAGTTTAACAATAGTTTTAAAAAAACACATCATTGTGACAAGATATTATAGCAGGTATTGCGATCTTCACAAGTGTGATGATAACACATAATAGATAGCATAAGACAATATAAGAGTTGCTACAAATTTTATAAATATAGTTGATATGTGTACATGATTAATCTATTTTTAATAAAAAAAGTTCTAAAGATGGAGAGTGGTTCTCAGAAACAAACTTTTGAAGATGTAAAAGGGAATATTAGTATGAAATTACACTCGGTTACTGGAGTTGAGGGTAAGGTTACTGAAAAAGTACAATTATTTTTAACTTGTACCTTTATATGTATGTATCAATATTAAAATTT